GGATGGTATGAAAGAGAGATCGTGGCTGGGGGTAGGTGAGGTGTGAGAAGCAGAAGCCATGGCAGGAAGTTCAGCACATGTCGCTGTGGGGGGAGGGTCCAAACTCCCAGAGGGCCCCCAAGGTTTCCTCAAGGAGAACGTCCTCCCTGTGCCGTAGATATTCACCCACTGCTTCATATCCTCATTGCTCTCGCCCCAACAGGCATCGTTGCCAGCAACACTCGGGACAACGACACAGGTGCCACCTACCCACACCTGAACTTCAGCATTCCCATAACGGTGCTCCAACCAGCCCTGGAGCAGTATAGTCAGACCGGTGACCTAAGTGGCCTCCGAGAGCTGGACCTCGCCACTGAACCAGTCAGGGTGGTGTGGCGGCTGCAGCGGCCCCTGCCTGAAGCCCCACGGAGCAAGCTCTGAGACTGTCCCTCTTCTGGGACGAGGAAGACCACCTTTTGACTGTGAGAAGTGCATTGATGTGGTAACTTTGACATCTCAGTCACCTGCCAGGGCACAGTCGAAGCCACCCCCTCATCTTCACCCACGGACTGTCCAGGAACAATGTTCCGTGCAGCTCTGCGGGTCTCTCTTCTGCCTTGGGGTGCTCTCTTGAGCCTGTCTTATCTGTTTCCCAGAACTAGGCTCGGTATTGTCATTGTTCCTCCTGGGGATTCTGGTCCATTGGGCAGATGTGCTGGAAGGGCAGGCCAGCCTCGCCCCCATCCCCCAGTTCAGAATCTCTCTGCCTGACAGCCCATGGTTACCTGAAGTAGCTACAGCTAGGGCTCTTGCCTGATAGTCTACTCAGCAGGTAGAGGACCCTGCTTGGAAGCCCAGAGTCCCTCTGGCCATTCATTAACAGGCCATTCATTAACAGGCCATTCCTTAACATTGCCACACTGATATACAAGCAAATATCCCAAAGCCACCTGCCTTCGCTCTGACACGGTGCCTTAATTTACTAGCCCAGAGCCTGAGACTCGGGTCTAGTGGGTGGTGTGTGCGGTGGGAGCTGGGGAATAAACAGTCTGAATGGCCTCACTTTGTACACTGGCTACTTTTCCTTAAAAGCACAGCAGGGAAGAGGCCAGCACCTGGCAAGGAAACACGCTCCTTTGCTTTGCACATCTCCCTGTGCTTTGTCTGCCAGCCTGGCCCAAAGCCGCATTCATCCATGCCACCCGGGACATGGAAAGGGTCTTGGGAAGTGCTGGTCTGGCCTGGCGTGGCAGCAGATGTGCGCAGAATGTCCTCGGTGTGCAGAGGCCCAGAATGGGTCCTAGGTATGAATGAAGAAGGGGTCAACATTGAATGAGAAGGGCTGAGGGTATGGTCTGGTGTTGAATCACTTACTCTGGCATGTTGAACCTTGGGTTTGGATCCCTTCTACCTCCACCCCCCACCCCTGCCACACACCACCACCACCAAAAATGAATAAAAAGTGACTGAGGGCTGCAAATGTGGCTCAGTTGGCAGAATACTTGCCTAAAATGCATTAAGCCATGGGTTTGATCCTCAGTATGTGGAATGAAATGGGGTATTTCTGCATCCTGACTACCAATCCTTCCTGCTGTGTCAGCCAGGTCCTTTGTCAAGTGGTGATTGAAAGGGGTAAACTAAACTCAAAGGCTTCACTTTTTAAAATGAAGGGACCAGACCCTCACTCAGCCCCTGCTTTAGCAGCCATGACAGGCTACAGAAAAGACACTTAGGCCTCTGACACAAGGAAACTCCAGATTCTCTGGCCTCCTGGAGTCTAGGGCCAAAACTGAACACAAAGAAACTCCAGCCTCCTAGATACTCAGTTTCTGGGAGCTGTTTGGCCACGAAAGAAACTCCAGGGGGAACCAAAACCTCCCCTGTAGTCTCCAGGACATAGTTCTGAAAACTATTGGCATTTATATACAACAGGCCACCTACATGTAACAAGACAATGCCATAAAAACCACAGAATGTTCCCTCTCAGCGCTGACCAATAAAAATAGCTGGTACACAGGTATTTCATGCCAAAATATGACTGAGAAATTCTCCTAATTGTTCCCAAATGTCAACCAACAATAAACCAACCCGTACCTACTGATGTAATCCTGTAACTTTTGTCTTTAAAATCTAGCAGTAGACAAGGAACTCCACTCCCTCTGGAGGCTGTTGCAACAGCTTTCTAGATGGGGGGTCCCTGTTATGGTTGGATAAACAATCCTTAAACCTTGCTGTTACAATTTAGTGGGTCTGTCTTCCTGCTGGCCTCTGGGGACTTTGCAACTTGGGCACAACAGTGAGCCCTGAGTTCCAATTTCAAAGGCTCTGGACACTGCTGGGTGGGCAGTGAGATGTGATACGGAACTGGAGGACTGCAGAGGCCCTGTCCTGGATCAAGTATTCTGCTTGACAACAAGCTGTTGGGCCACCACTAGAAAACCTTTGAGAGCTTGGCAAGATGGCTCAGGCAGTAAAGGCGCTTGCCCCTAAAGCCTGTTGACCTGAGTCTAATCCCTAGGAGCCACACAAAGGTGGAGGGAGAGAGCCAATGCCACAGAATTGTCCTCTGACCCCTACACAAGTGCCCATGCATCATGCAGACATACATACGCACAACGACAATACAAGTTTTAAATTGTAAAAGAGTATTTTGGCTTTCATGTTTTGAGACCGTCCTTAGCGGTGGGCAAAGCCAGCAGATACGCTGTGTTAATTTTTTGATCAGGACAGAATGCCTAGCATAAGCAAAGTGAGAAGGGATCTATTTGGGCTCAGCTCTAGGTGTATCCATCTATCCCAGAGTGGAGGGCAAGGTGGAAGAGTACAGTCTATGCCATTGCATGCAAGCAGCAGAGAAAGGAGCCAGGGCCATTGCAGGGATCCACAATTGGCCCCAGTTGGTACATTGACAACACAACCTCCACACCTAAGGCTCAGGGAACACAGAGGACAAAGGGAGGACATGATTGTAAGAGCCAGAGGACCAAGATGTTTGCTGTGAGATAGTGTCTCATGGACATGATGCTACCATGAAATCTCAATGATGACGTTGCTTTAACAAGGCCTGCAGGGGCTAGAGAGGTGACTCAGCAGTTAAGAGCACTGGCTGCTCTTCCAGAGGTACAGAGTTCAATTCCCAGCACCCACATGGCATCTCATAACCATCTGTAATGAGATCTGGTGTTCTCTTTTGACATTCAGAGATACATGCAGGAGGAACAATGCATATATAATAAATCTTTTTTTAAAAAAAAGGTCTGCATAATAATCACACAACATGGCAATGTGGATGGGGATTTCACAAGGTCCCATCTCTAAAGAGCTATAGGTTCTTTAGAGCCTGTAGAGATGCAGAGAAAGATCTGATAGGTAGAGAGAGATCTGATCAATGGCTGGAGACATACAGACTGAATGGATGGATGGATGGATGAATCAGGCTTCTCTAGGAAAAAGCCCCCCCCCCCCCCGCTAATGTTTTACATTTCCTGGTGGTTACATGCTCATAAGAGCAGGTTGGTTATATGTTCATAAGACCAGCATTAAATGGACTTAGGTTTGGTTTCTTTCTGTGCATGCAACAGTAGTAATTATATAAGAGATCATGAGTTTGGGGAATTGGGGGACCTGGGGGGTGGGAGGGATGGAATTGATGTACAGTATTCATGTATAAAATTATCATAAAATGTGTTCAAAGGGGGAAAAAGAAATAGTACCTTCCCCCCTTTATTTTAAATTTTTTTAATTTTAATTTTTTATATGCATCAGTGTTTCAGCATGGGTGTCAGGTTCCCTCCAACTGGAATTGCAGATAGTTGTGACCTGCCATGTGGGTGTGAGAATTGAACTCTGGTCCTCTGGAAGAGCAGTCAATGCTCTGAACCACAGAACCATGTCTCCAGCTCCTCCATATATGTGTTACTTGACTTGAGACAAGGCCTCACTCTGCAGCCCAGAGTATGGTGAACTTGTGATCCTCCTGGCTCAGCTTCCTCAGGGGCTGCGAGTGCAGGCACATACTAGTACCTCAAGTACAGGTATGAGCTAGTACACCCAGCTCAGTCATATAAGTGATCTCACAGACAGTTGCCTACTGCTCCTAGGGCAGGGGACAACAACTGTATTGAGACAGAGACAGATAGCCTATCTTTCTCTTTTTTTCTTTTCTTTTCTTTTTTCTTTTTTGGTTTCCAAGATAGGGTTTCTTTGTGGCTTTGGAGGCTGTCCTGGTACTAGCTCTTGTAGACCAGGCTGGTCTCGAACTCACATAGATTCTCCTGCCTCTGCTTCCTGAGTGCTGGGACTAAAGGCGTGTGCCACCACTGCCGGGCTTAGCCTATCTTTTTCTTTCCCCTAGAGATTGTGTGGTAGAACGCTCTGGCTTTCATAGCTCTGTCACGTTTGTCACTGCGCACACATGTTCCCTTTCCTCCTCTGCCCAGTGCTGCCTTCAGTATGGGACAGAGGTCTAATACCTTTTTCTGCCTTCAAATTTCTTCACCGCAGTAGGTGACAAGAGATGTTTTTGGTAGTGGTAGTGGTTTTAATGATTTAAATTTTAGACGGGATCTCAGGAAGCCCAAACTGGTCTCAAACTTGCTGTAGTAACAAAGGATGACCCAGAACTTCTAATTCTCCTGTCTACACCTCCCGAGCACTAGGATTACAGGCACACACCACTACTCTCTGTTTTTGTAGTGTTGGATAAGAAACCCAGGGCATTCTACCTACTGAGCGACACCCCACCTTCCCAGTTTTGGCTTTAACTCCTTCTTTCCCCAAAAGATACACCTGGACCACTCTCCATTTTAAAGCTCCCAGGGCTGGGCATACAAGGGACGCTCAGCCTGTACACACATGTGAAGGAGGCACAGCTAGTGCTGGGGGTCATAGGACCTACAGGTGTCTCCCAGATACCCAGGCATAACTGGGGCGCCGGGCCCTGGCAGGCGGAGAGGCTACGTGGGCAACACTGTGTCCAAGTTGCAGGCGGTTAGTAGGCGGTCAAGGTCAGCGCCGGGGCAGCAGGGAGGGGCGGGGCTCGGGGCGGCGCCACCGGCCAGGGACAGTGATGGGCACGCCCCGGCCAAGGGCCTCGGCGGGCGCCGGAAGACACGCGGACAGCGGCAGGTGAGGTCGCCTGGGCCCCTGTTCCCGGTGGTGCGCGGGGCTACGGTGGAGGGACGACATGGACCAAGGCTTTGGGAGGAGGGGGGGCGTTGCCTAGGATACCCAGCGTAGACACGTAGGACCGGATACCCCGGGGATTTCCGGCCCTAAATCCCCACTAAGTCTTTCGGGGGAATTTAGGCCGTGTTGGGAGCAGGACACTCAGGGTCGGTGGGGCAGGCATGTCAGGCGTGGCCCCGATCTCGGAAGGGTCTCAGACCGAAGGACTGCAGAGTCTGAGTGCCGCGGGGAGATCCCTAGGGATCTCAGGGAAAGTGAGTGGGGTTGCCCAAGTGATCATCAATTCGGGTGCATTGGAACCGGCTTCACCCTGCCCCCTTCGAAATCGGGGTTCTGGCATAACAAGACCAGCCATGGCTCAATTCACTCACTCTCCTGGCATCCTAAGATCTCTTTGACTCTGGAATTTAAGGGGTGGGGGTGCTCAGCTGTCTTAGGAACTGAGTCTCCTGTGGGAGAACAGCCGTAGACAGTTTGGGAAGGGACTCCCAGGTCTCCCCACTCAGCACCTATGCTCCAAGGCTGACATCAGCCTCTAGCATGAGCCTGTGTCTGCTACCCACACACCCCAAGTGCTCAGCCACACCTAGAGGAGTTCCTCAAGGGGGGTGAACTTCAGCACCGACCCAGGTTGCCTTCTATTCACCAAGACACTGAACCCCAGCCTGTGTTAGGGTGTTCCAGGACCATTTGCCCCTAAGTGATAGAGCTGGACCTGTCAAGGACCTTGTCTGTGGGCCTTGTCTGATGGCAGATGAAATGCTGGCGGTGGACAGGGATGGGCAGGTCACTTGAGGTGGGGTGTGAGTACAGGAGTGTCCATGAAGTGAGCCCGCTTGTCCTAGAACTTCCCTGTCTCTTCATCCTTTCAGTCAGTCCCTTTTAGCGCTGGGTGTTTTTCAAGGGTACATTTGGGGGTACATCCTCAGCTGCTGGTCATAGAATATCCACTCTCAACCTAGTCCCTGTTGTTCAGAGAGGGGAGCCATCACCTCCCTTCCCCAGTGGAAGAGGGGACGTCATAGCCCATTGAGTGACACTTCAGTAACCTTCTCCTTCTTGGCCTCTGTGGATACAAGGCTACCCTGTATGTCAGTGTTGAAATCTTCCTTCTTGTATAAGCCTGGGTGACTCAAATGGCTGTGTGGTGTACTTGTGATTTTTGTAGAGCAAGACAGCAGGGTGGTCTCACTCTGGCCTGGTTGTACAGGGCTTCTGTTCTGTGTTGTCTGAGGTTTGACCTCTCGACAGCTATGGCAGGAATGTGTTCCAGTAGATTCCTGGAGGTCTCTTACCTTGGGATTGGGCTGCATGGCAGAGAAAATAAGATTGTTAGCAAGTTCAAGTGTGAACCATATCTGTGTGTATGTGTGTGTGTGTGTGTGTGTGTGTGTGTGTGTGTGTTTTGGGAGATGGCACAATGGAAAATTACTTAGGAATTGCTGTACTATAAGTTTTTTTTTTGAGGGGTGAGGGATGGGCAGGGGGGTCAGGGTCTCATGTAGCCTTTGGTAGCCTCATACTTACTATGTATTCAAGGCTGGCCTTAAACTTCTGATCCTCCTGTCTCTTCTTGTGATTACAAGTGAGCATTATCTGGGTTATGTGATGCTAGGAATCAAACCTAGGACGTTGTGCACACTAGGCAAGAAATCCACCAACTGAACTTAAGACTTCTCTTAAGCCAGTGGTTCTCAACCTGAGGGTTGAAACCCTTTTGGGTCACCTAAGACCATTGGAAAACACAGATTATGATTCATAACAGTAGCAAAATTACAGTTATGAAGTAACAACGAAAATAAATTTATGGTTGGGGGTCACCACAACATGAGAAACTGTATGAAAGGGTTGAAGCATTAGGAAGGTTGAGAGCCGCTGTGCTAAGCTTATATTTCTGAACCTAGCAGTTTTAGTGGAGATTCTCTGTGCTTTCTTGCTGTGAGTGCATGAGAAAGTTAAACCTAGAGTTACCCGTGACTCAGCAGTTCTACCGTAGCCATTGACTAAACTTAGAAACAGAGCCACGTAAAATCTTGTGCACAGATGTCCATCCATGGTGGCACTGTTCACGACAGCCATGAAATGCAAACTAAAATGTTGGACCATCCTAAGAATGTGGTGTAGTCATATGATGGTGTTATTTAGTCAAGTGAAGGAGAAACAGACACCATACAAGTCAGGGAAAGGAACCAGACACAGAGGTTAATGTTGTATGATTCCATTTGCACAAAACATCTAGGGTAGGCAAATCTGTAGAAACAAAGGTATGTTAGTAGCTGCCAAAGGATTTCTCCAAGACAGGGTCTCCGTACACATTCCAGGCTGGCCTCAAACTGTCGATTCTTCCATGCCGTGTTCCCTGAGTGCCGGGTTTATAGGCATGTACAATCACACCCTGATGAGAGTGGTCTGGGTTGATAGTTGTGGTGGTTGTTCAATCTGGAAAGCATAATAAAACCTGCCAATTTATACTTTAGATGGTAGCTTTTATCTATGAATTATCTGATTACAGAAATCATGTAGAGACAGACCTATCTCACTAGTTTCTTTTTTTAAGAGAAAGTCTTACTCTATAGCCTGGAAATTCACTATTTAGTTAAGAATGGTCTTGAACTTATGTTGATCCTTCTGTCTCTGCCTCCTAAATTCTGGGATCACAGGTATGATGTGCCATCACAGCTAGCTTCCCTGTGCAGTGTGTGTGTGTGTGTGTGTGTGTGTGTGTGTGTGTGTGTGTGTGTGCGCGCGCGCGCACGCATGTAGCCCTGAAGTTGATATTGGGTACCTTCCTTGATAAGTACCCACCTATTTTAAATTAATTAATTAATTTCATTTTTTTGAGACAGGGTTTCTCTATATAGCACTCACTGCCCTGGAACTCTCTCTGTACACCAGGCTAGCCTCAAACTCACAGAGATCCCTGCCTCTGCCTCCTGAGCATTAAGGTTAAAGATGTGTGCCACCATTGCCCAGCTTATTTTATTTTTTGAGTCAAGGTCTCACTTTGTAGTCCTAGCTAGCCTAGAACTCTCTCTATGTAGACCAGGCTGGCCTTGAACTTAGAGAGATCTGCCTATCTCTGCCTCTGCCTCCAGAGTACTGGGATTTAAGATCTGTGCCTCCATTCCTGTCCCTCTTTTTTTTTTTTTTTTGGAGACAGGGTCTCTCTGAACCAACTCACTGATCTGGCTAGGCCAGCTGGCCAGTCACCTTCAGGGATCTGTTTGCCTCTGCTTATCCAGTGTTGGAGTTACAGGTGCAAACCACAGTGCCCAGCTTTTAAGTGGGTTCTTGCATGGCAGACACGTTACCACAGCTCCACACCCATGTCTCGCTTTTGAAGCTGAATTATTTTTGTCAAAACAACACATACCTGTTTAGTAATTCAAACAAGAAAAAGCTAAGGAGGAAAGTAGAAACCTCTTCTTAGTCCACTATTGATGTCGTGGTTCAGGGGATGGGGTCAGGTGTGATAAAGATGGAGCATTCATTCTCCAGTAGTTGAACTTTCTTTTTCCAAAATGGGGTGAAAAGCCCACATGTATGAAATGCAAAGCTGCAGGGAAAAGGCAGGGAACGCCAAACTTTGCAGCAACCACACATGCGTGTGCATATACTGAGCATTGCAGCAATCACACGTGTGTGCATACACAGAGATGCTATGTTTTTTTGCTTGTAAGCAGGGTGAGGGTCTATAGATGGTCATTCTGTTGCCTTGACTTTTCCATGGACAAGCCTTTCATGGAAAAATGTTATTCATTCTTTAAAAACAAACAGGTTGTGTGGGTGTGTGGGAGTCTCTTCTAGAGTCTCCCACCAATGGAGCTTTCTGTGGGTTAATGGAGTCTTCAGGTTACTTCAGGTGGCCCAGCCTGGCTACCAAGTTAAGTACATTCATACACACAAGTAACATTCATTCATTCCAGGCATGCATTTGGAGCGACCACAGGGTCTGCAGCTGGAAGTGGAGGGCACTGCAGCCTAGGCCTTTGGTTTTAGGTGGTTGGCCAAGTAGGCCATGGTCCAGCAAAGAGAAGCCTTGCTTCACCCCACCCCCTACCCACTCTAGGGAGGGGCAGGAAAGAATGGACAGAGAAGAGCCAAGGACAATTAGTGTGTCCAAGTGTTGGGCAAGGAGATGGAATGTTCTAGAGAGTTGCCCGCCTCCTATCCCCCAAGTGAGGGTGGCAGAGGTCAGTGGAGGAGAGAGAAGAAAGATTCCAGAGAGAGTAGCAGGGAGTGAGAGACGGCCTCCCTTTGGCAGTCTTGGCCCTCAAGGCCAGAGCAACAGCTTGGCTTCACTGGGGGCTGGCTCTGTTGAGCACAGCAAAGGTCTGTCTGCCCTTTGGGGAAGCAGTTTGGTGACCAGGGAGGAGCTGAGGCATCTGGGCCTTTCTGCCTGCTCAGTGGTCACTGACACTCTTTCCTCCCGGGAATGGGGTTCTCAGGAGAGGCGAGGGTAGGTTTGTTGGTCCATCTGGCATGATGGGCTCTTAGTGACGTCTGTGCTGGCCTGTCACCTGCGCACCCCACATTTCTGCCACATGTGCCTTGAGCTCCTACTCACTTCTGAACTTACCACTGACTGACAGCTTTGAGGGCAGGACTGGGTCCATACATAAGGGGACAGGTGGAGCATACTCCGCTGTGGTCCCGTTTCCAGGCCCTGCTAACCTACTGGTGTCCCTTCCTGCCTCTGCCTGAGTACCCGTGTCTTCCTGGGTCCTGGCTTCCTGGGGATATACATCTTCTATTCAGTTGGCATAGTTAGTCTGCTAAATTCTCAGAATTAGCTCTGGGCAATCCTGAGGAGTCAGAGGAGGAGAGGGAGCGTTGCCTCCTGGGGCATTTGTCCTTGTCTCGGTTCTGTCAGGGACTCAGTTTCCTAATCTGTCAGATGGGTCAGATGCTGATGCCTTGGTGTATTAGCGGTCTCTTGGCCAATGAGAAATAACGTTGAGTCCCCTCCAGTCCCCTGATGCAGAGCTCCCCCACACCCCACACTAGCACCAATGAAAACAGTGCCAGGAGTTCTAGTCATCAGCTATCCTGCGAGGGTGGGAGGATTTGGGAACACTCCCAGGGGTTTTCATGCCTTGGAATCAATTCTATGCATACAAGGCAATGTGTATAGTGCTTCCCCTTAGAAAGGGTAAACTGAGGGGCTAGATTCAGTGGTTAAGAGCACTGATTGATCTTGGCTGAACTTGGGTTCCATTCCCAGCACCCACCGCTCACAACCATCTATAACTCCGGTTCCAGGGTTCCAGATACCATCTCTGGCCTTCCAGACACCAAGCATGCATGTGGTACACAGATACACGTGCAAGCCAAGCAAATACAGACAATGAAATGAATCAATTAAAAAGAAAAAAAGGAAGGAGTAAACCCCGGCCTAGAGAAGAGCAGGGTTCCCTCTAGCCCCACACAGGGTCAGATAATAAGTGGTCCTCCAGTGCCACTGAGTCGCCTGAGACTGTCCCTGATGGGCTGGGACATACTCCCTCATGAGGCTGCTCAGCCTTGTCAGCCTGTGCCTCCAGCCTTCACCTCCGCGTGCACTTCTTTCCTTTCTTTGTCTGTGGGTGCACATGTGTGTGCAAGCACGTGCAAGCTAGAGGTCAGCCTTGTGCGTCATTTCTTAGGAGCTATCCATCTTATGTTTTGAGACAGGGTGTCTCACTGAGACCTGGGGCTCACCCATTTCCACCAGGCTGGCTGTCCATCCAGTGAGCTCCAGGAATCCTCCTGCCCGTATCACTGGTACCACAAGTACACACGACCGTACCTGGCTTTTTTGTTTTGTTTTGTTTTTGCTTTTTGTTTTTTTGAGACAGGGTTTCTCTGAATTGCTTTGGAGGCTGTCCTGGAACTAGCTCTTGTAGACCAGGCTGACCTCAAACTCACAGAGATCCACCTGCCTCTGCCTCCCGAGTGCTGGGATTAAAGGCATGCGCCACCAACGCTGGGCTCTGTACCTGGCTTTTTATGTAGGTGCTGTGGATAGAACTCAAGTCTTCATGCTTGCACAGCAGGCATTTCACCTACTGAGATGCCTCCCAAGACTTTTTTTAAACAAATAGTCTAGACTGCCTTTGAACTTTGAACTTGATATATATCTGAGGATGACCTTGAACTTCAGATCTCCCTGCCTGTACCTCCCAAATGCAGGGGTTGTAGGCATGGGCCACACTGTGCTTGACTTACTTCCTCCTTTCTTATGTCCCCCAAATGTCATTGGTGCCCTGCCCTGAAGCCCACGGAGTAGCTGGGCCTCTCTGGCTGTTTTCTGTAGCTTTTCTGTCCTTAGTATCTCCCTAGAGACTCCCTTTGTATGACTTGGCCCAGGCTGGAGGAGTCTTATGTCCTTTGGTCTGAGACAGTACCGCCCAGCAACCCTTGTCCTGCTGTCTACATCTCAGCTGGAGGGACCTGGCCCTCACATGGATGGGTGGCTCTTTCCACACTGGCAAGCCCTTGGACTGACTCAAGGCCACATGTTTGTCTCTGGGGTTCACTGGGACTGGGGACACAGGGACAGACTCCAGGATACTGAGAGTGGCCCTGACAGTCTCAGGCACCTTCCATCTGCTTTTACCTTAGGTTTAGCAGTACTGTGTCTAGTGACCTAGACTGCTACTTTCCTCTGCCTTAGATACACCTTACCATCCAGCTCTGGGCCAAAGGTTTTGAGATTTTAACTCCTGAGACTCAGCCAAGGTTTGCTCTCAGTGTGTTGGGAACTGGGTAGCCCTGCCTCAATCCAAGCAGTGGGCCCAAAGATTAGGCCACGCCCACGGCAGACACACTCCTCGGATGGTCACTCTCATCTCTCCTCTCGACCTCCATCAGGGCCTTGCTCTGCCCTCTTAGCACGGGGTCTACCAGATAGCTAGTGCTTTCCCCTCAACCCTCGTCCTCCCACAGACAGTCACTGAGATTTCTCCCAGCAGCCCCACCTCCATGTCTTGGGTCATACCCCCTAGATGTCCCTGGGGTGAGGAGTGTGTTGCTGTGGAGAGACCTATCCCATGGCAGGCTCCTCCCCTGTGATCTCAGTCTGTGTGTGGTGTTGCTACAGACTGCTGCAGACTGGATAATTTATAGTGAGCAGAAATTTGTTGGCTCATGGCTCTGAAGGCTGGGAAAAGTTCAAAGTCAAGGTTCCAGTCTCTGCCAAGGGCCTTCCCTTGCAGCTTCCCATGGGGAAAGCAAGAAAGAGCTAGTACTTGAAGCCTCAAAGCCCTGCTTCTTAAAATTACACACACACACACACACACACACACACACACACACACACACTTGTGTGTGGGGGTGGGAGGGCCCATGTGTGGAGGTCAGACGACAACTTTCAAAAGTTGATTTTCATCACGGGAGAGCTGGGATTGAACTCACGTTAGCAGGCTTGGTGGCAGGCACCTTTACCAGCTAAGCCATCTCATTGGCCCCTCAGCGACTTTTATATTCAGCATAAATCCATTCATATGTGGGACTTTCATGACCTAAACAGCTCCCAGGAGAGCCACCTCTTCCATGCCACATGGAGATTATGTTTCCAAGGTGTGCTTTTTAGGGAACACATTGGAACCATAATAACATCCTGTGTTGGAAGATATTTATCATACTCTGCTAGTGGCACCCTTTGACCCGGGGTTCACACTGGTGACCCAGGACCCTCGCATAATCTCATTGCAGTGTTTGCTTAGCATGGGAGTCAAAGGACTTTCCTTTAGATACGGCTTTAGGACATGGTTCTTTGTTCACCTACCTGCCCAACTTCCTACACACCTTTTGTTATCCACCCCATCCCTCGATATTCTAAACTCTTTTTTTTTTTTTTTGGTTTTTTGAGACAGGGTTTCTCTGTGGCTTTGGAGGTTGTCCTGGAACTCGCTTGGTAGTCCAGGCTGGTCTCGAACTTACAGAGATCCGCCTGCCTCTGCCTCCCGAGTGCTGGGATTAAAGGCGTGCGCCACCAACGCCCGGCCTCTAAACTCTTTTTTAAAAAGAATACTTAAGTAATAATTATTATTGTATGTATATGATATTGTTGGGGGCACTATTTGTTTAAGTAATAATTATTGTGTGTGTATGATATTGTTGGGGGACATGCGTGTGCCATCTTGTGTGTGCGTACCTCAGAGGACGACTTTTGGGAATCGCTTCTCTCTTTCCACTGGTTTCTGGGGTTCAACCCGGGTCATCAGGCTTATACACCTGCTGAACCCTCTTGCTGGCCTGAGCTCTGTTTCTATAAGGGTGGGGCCATGTCTGTCTGTCTGATCACATGATGCACAGCAACAGCGTGCTATGTACATGTGTGTTGAGTAGACATCGCTCCCTCTTTGGAAATCTTTGAAGACATATATTTAGGAAAAGCAAGCTGAAGAACAGTTTGATAGTCATGGCCGCAGGTTCATAGAGCAACTCTGGGGAGGGTTCAGATGCCTCCAGAGAAGGGAGTGGGTGGTTTTGATGGGATGAGAGAGCAGGCCTCCCCTTCTTCTTCTTCTTCTTCTTCTTCTTCTTCTTCTTCTTCTTCTTCTTCTTCTTCTTCTTCTTCTTCTTCTTCTTCTTCTTCTTCTTCTTCTTCTTCGTCTGCTTCTTCTTCTTCTTCTTCTTCTTCTTCTTCTTCTTCTTCTGCTTCTGCTTCTGCTTCTTCTTCTTCTTCTTCTTCTTCTTCTGCTTCTGCTTCTTCTTCTTCTTCTTCTTCTTCTTCTTCTTCTTCTGCTTCTTCTTCTTCTTCTTCTTCTTCTTCTTCTTCTTCTTCTTCTTCTTCTTCTTCTTCTTCTTCTTCTTCTTCTTCTTCTGCTTCTTCTGCTTCTTCTTCTTCTTTTTTCTGAGAAAGGGTTTCTCTGTGTAACAGCCCTGGCTGTGCTGGAACTCGCTCTGTAGACCAGGCTGGCCTCGAACTCACAGAGATCTGCCTGCCTCTGCCTGCTGAGTGCTGGGATTAAAGATGTGTGTCACCATTGCTCAGCCCCCTTCTTCTTTGAATTTAATTTAATTTATTTCAGTGTCCATGGGGCTGTAATTTTGTGAATGAAAGACAAACTCTTGGGGCTGAAGATACGGCACAGTGTTTAAAGCCATGAAAGTGTGGTGGCTGAGTTTGGATACTCAGTATCCAATAAATGCCAAGTGCTCACGGCAGCCCACCTGTAATTCCATTTCTAGAAAGGCAGAGAAGCAACTTGGTTAGCCCTGGGTTTGATCGAGAGACCCTGTCTCAATGAATAAGGTGGAAAGTGGCGTGATTGAGGAGGACTCCTGATGTCAACCTGTCTCTTTCAGTGGGTACCCCTGCCTTCCACTCCCCTGAATCTAATGTAGTCTCTTCTCTCAGCCCAGCAGTGCCAAGTTCACGATGGGGTCCCAGGTCTCGGTGGATACAGGAGCTGTGCATGTGGTGATTGTAGGCGGGGGCTTTGGAGGGATAGCGGCTGCCAGCCAGCTGCAGGCACTGAATGTCCCCTTCATGCTGGTGGACATGAAGGACTCCTTCCACCACAATGTGGCAGCCCTCCGGGCCTCCGTGGAGAGTGGTGAGTTGCTCCTTTGAAAGCATGGTCTTGTCACTCTTATGGGGTATGGTGTCAGAGCTGGGGGCATTTTCTCCATTTAGGGCAAGTTGCTCCAGGCATTAGATTCATTTCCTAAGCTCCAGACACTGGTCTTACGCATCGCCCATAACGAAGCCCCAGGGTAAGAGCTTAGGGTCTTCTGAGGACCATATGGGCACTTCAGGGCAGAATAGACACCTGGGAATACCCACTGGCCTGGCTGTGGTTCAGGAAAGTTTTCAGTCCTGTGTGACCTCATGACATCTTCTGTGTCTGTTCCCAGGATTTGCCAAAAAGACGTTCATTTCTTACTCAGTGACCTTCAAGGACAACTTCCGCCAGGGCAAAGTGGTTGGCGTAGACCTGAAGAACCGTACAGTGTTGCTGCAGGGCGGTGAGGTGAGCGTATGTGGGTGCTCTGGTAGGAGGGGCCCAAGAGGAGTCATCCGTGGGCCCCAAGTCCTGCTTCCTGCTTCACAGCACATTCCTCATGACAAAGGCGTGGCCACAGCAGACACAAGCAGAGGTGGCCGGGGATGCCCAAGTCTTCCCTACATGTCAGGCACTGTCCCGAGCCTTTACATGAGTGTCACCCTCCCACCTTGGCATGATAGATGGAGGTTCTAAAAGTCCAGGAGAGGAACTGGGGATGTGGCTCAGTTGGTAGAGTTCTTGCCCAGCGTGCATGAAGCCCCGGGTTTGTTCCTCAGCACCGGGCACAGTGATCTGTGCCACATAATCCCAGTTCCATCGGAGCTGGAGGCAGGGGGTTAGAAGTTCAAGGTCATCCTTGGCTGGGAGACCCAGTCGCCAAAACAAAAGTCCAGAAGATTCCAAACTAACTCCCTACTGGAGGCGTGAGTCTTGTTTATTGCACCACGCTTCTTTCCCCATGCAATTTCTTGTTCCTGGCCTCTATGCCGATCAGCTCTGCGTCCCACGCTCTCCTGCGTCCTTACGTAATGCTGGCTCCCAGTACCTTGCAAGCATCCCATCTGTATGCTTCTTTCTCCTACTCCTTTCTGGACTGCTGGTTGTACAGAGCTCTGAATGTGGGGAGAGGCGAGCTGGGCCGTTGGGTGGTAAACCCAGCCCAGGAGCCTCTTCTCTGCAGTGCGCCATGGCCCCTGGTGCCCTGCTGTTGGAGGCAGTGGCCCAGTCCTTCCTCTCTGACTTCACTCTCACAATTCCTTTTTGTATCCCCTACAGGCCTTGCCCTTCTCACATCTTATCCTGGCCACAGGCAGCACCGGGCCCTTCCCTGGCAAATTTAACGAGGTGTCCTGCCAGCAGGCAGCCATCCAGGCCTATGAGGACATGGTGAAACAGGTGTGCCGCACTGACGGATGTGGGTGGGCGGGCCAGAGCACAGTTCGCTACTGGGCTGGAGCAGGGACACTCTCTGGGAGGACCTCAGCAGTCTGGGAACAGCCGAGAGTTGCTAGAGATATATTTTCCCAGAGGAGGCCTCCGACCTAAGTTCCTGTGTCTGCTGTGCTGGGCATGTCTCTGGCTCGTCCCACCTGGGACCTCTTCATATATGCATGCCTCCCATTCCAGATGCTGTGTGTGGTACAGCACACCAGGCCACATGCTCCCCGGTTTCCCAGGGATCCTGTGAGGTGGGGAGGAAGCCCATCTAGAGCCCAAATATGGACAGAGTTCTGCCCTTCTTGGCCAGGGCCTCCCTACCCCATCCATAGGCTGATGGCACGTGGCTGTGTTTCATGGTCCCTTCTTCTTCAGATCCAGCGCTCACCGTTCATCGTGGTGGTGGGAGGCGGCTCAGCAGGAGTGGAGATGGCAGCCGAGATTAAAACTGAATACCCCGAGAAGGAGGTGAGGCGGCCCCCTGGACTATGAGCTCTCAGCAGTCAGCTTCCCTCCTTTCTTTTTGTTCTGAAAGTTTTACACACACACACACACACACACACACACACACACACACACACACACACACGAGTCTTTATGTGTGTGCCACATGAGAGTCAGGGAATAACACGTGGAAGTCAGTTCTCTTCTTCCACCTTGTGTACCCTGAGTTTTGAACTCATGTCATCATGCTTGGGGACAAGCGCCGCCTTTACCTTTACCCACCTTGCCACCCCAGCAAAATCAGGACTATGCTCAGGTTTTGGGAGGCTGGAGCCCCACCAGCATAAGAAGAGTGTTTTCCATCTTGTACTAAAAGCAATTCCACACAGCGAGAAGAGCCTCCTACTTAGGCTTCTGGCTATATGGAGCTCTGAATGTGGGGAGAGGAGGACCAGGGAGCTGTCTCTCAAACCCAGCCTCCCATGTCTCTCCTTCAGAGATAGGGCCTTTGGGATGAGGCCTGGGTGTTCTTCAATAACCTCCTTGCTGTCAAGTTTCTTGGTATGTTTGATTGGCAGCCCTTGCCCTGGATAGCTGCATGGTGGTCCATGCCCATGGCATTGACAGACCTGCCCACACTGGGGGTAGGACTGGTCTTCAATTCCTTCTCCCCATGGAAGGGTAGCAACAGCCTGCCCTGACTTTTCTAATGCTGGAGAGATAGAAACCTGGCTGGGACCTTGGAAAGAGAGGAGGGTCTAGACTCCCTGAGTACTGGGGGCTGAATGACAGTTGTAGTGGTGGCTTCTGCAGTCCCCGGCTCCCTGGTACCTCATATGGGTCATCCTTGGCTCATGTGAGTCAGCCTTTTCTAGCCACAAAGAGCTTGTGAACATCATTCATCTCCCTGGGGAGAGATGGTTGACTTCAACAAGGAGAATCAATCCGGCATAGTTTAATTATATGCTTACTCTCTGACAAATGGTTGGAAATTATGGCGACTGATCGATGTAGTTAAAGTGTCCATTTTGATTCATGAGTGTTGCGTAGGGAAAGCCCATCCTCCGCTGCTCGTTCTCAGTGCTTCTGGCATGAGAAGAGTGGGTCTCTCCCAGCACTGACTGATCTTACTGGCACCAGTGGGGTGTCCCATGATGCAACTCAACTCCAAAGCTGCCTGGAATTAGCACATACACCATAGACCAAGGACTCCGTCCCATAAAACAGCTGCCACCTAGGAGACAGTGGAGTGGTAGGGCCCTGGCTAAATAACACCTCTGGCCCAGCTATAAATGGAAGGTTCCTCCCATAGGTAGACCCCAGAATACAGCTTGCTTAGCATTGCTGAGTTTAACCTATCCCAGATGGGGCTGGAGAGGTTTGGTTCTTTTGTGGAGCTCACACCACCTGTAACTATAGCTCCAGGGGATCTACCACCCTCTTCTGGACTCCACAGGTACTGCACTCATGTGCACATACTTATTCACATACAGACACATATACATATAACTAAAAACTAATAAAATATATCTTTAAAGGTCATATGAACAGCCAGATAAAAGAGAGCCTAAGCACAGGGGCTTCTTTCTCCTTGGAGTTGGGGTGTGCCACCTGGCCATGTTCAGACAGGTGGAGACTTTCTCGGTCCTGCAGGGGTTTTTTTTGAAGGCTTCATCATTTAGACATGATGGACTGTCGAACTCAATTTTCCTCCAGGATTGGGGCAGGAGCTGGAAACTCCCATCATGGTTTGAGTCTGGTGGCATTGTCTCATCAGACTGAATGATGTGCTTGTCACCCAGGAAATTCCAAGGCACCTGGTAGTTATGTCACTCAGGGAATTACAAAGATCGAAGAAGCTCTGGGTTAGGAATTAGGGCCAAATATAAGAACAACAATTCTCATAGCACTAGAAGGGCTCGAGAGCTCTGTGTCAGCAACCAGGGACAAACAGGAATTCTTGTCATGACACAGGGATAAAGTCTGTCTGAATTAGTACATTTCACTTACCTCAGTAAAACATCTATGTTGTATTAATAGGCATGTAAGAGCATTGTAGTAGCTGGGTGTTGGTGGCGCACGCCTTTAATCCCAGCACTCGGGAGGCAGAGGCAGGCAGATATCTGTGAGTTTGAGGCCAGCCTGGTCTACAGAGCGAGTTCCAGGACAGCCTCCAAAATAATAGAGAAACCCTGTCTCGAAAAACAAACTAAACTAAAATAAAATAAAATAAAAGGGCATTGTAGTAGCCATCTATCATTGTGTGATCGGCATGTGCTGAGTTACCTCCTTTAACATAGTTTTATTTATGGCTAAGCATAGTGGCACACACCTTTTATCCCAGCACTCAGGAGGCAGAAGCAGGAGAATCTCTGTGAGTTGTAGGCCAGCCTGGTCTACACACCGAGAGCCAGGACTATGTAGAGCAGTGGCTCCCAACCTTCCTAATGCTGTGACCCTTTAATACAGTTCCTCATGCTGTGATCCCCAACCACAACATTGTTTTCATTGCTACTTTGTCACTGTAATTTTGCTACTTGTAATGTAAGCATCTGGTATTTCTGATGGTCTTAGGTGACCCTTGTGAAGGGGTTGTTTGACCTCCCAAAGGGGTTGCGACCACAGGTTGAGAATCACTGATATAGAGAGACCCTGTCTCAGAAAACCAAGTAATTTAACATTTTCATTTATTTTAGTGTGTGCGTGTGCACATACCACATTCTGCTCTCTATGAGGAGGTCATAGGACACTGTAGGAGTTGGTTCTCTCCTTCTACCATGTGGGTTCTGGGCTCACGCTCAGTTTGTCAGGCTTGGTGACAATCACCTTACCTGGTGAGCCATTTTACCAGCCCCCTTTAATATCTTCTTGTCCATCATCACACAGTGGGGCGGTTGAATTCTGGTGAGTCTCAGGGAGATGTCTGATCCAAGAGGCAGAGATGGGATTTCAACCCAGTCCAGTCCCCCGACTTCCCCACTTCTTAGCTTTCCCCTTCCCTGTCTTCTCCTTCTCTCCCTTCTTCACTCTTCCTTCCAAGACCTTGTACCGCTAGACAAGCATTCTGCCAATAAGCTGTGTCTCCAGCCCTCTTTTTACATTTTTTTTTTCAAGACAGGGTTTCTCTGTGTAGCCCTGGCTGTCCTAGAACTTACTCTGTAAACCAGGCTGGCCTCGAACTCAGAGATCTGCCTGCTTTTGCCTCCTGAGTGCTGGGATTAAAGGTGTGGCCTACCACTGCCCAGCCTCTTTTTACTTTTTGAGACAGGGTTTGACTCAGGTGCCCCTTGGTCTAGAATTCACCCTGTAGCTCAGCCTAGCCTAGAACTGAGATCCTCCTACCTCAGCCTCCATAGTAGTTGAGATTACAGGCCTGTGCCACCAGGCCAGAGAGGCAGCCTGATTTCAAAGTCTGACCTGGACAGTGGTCACAATCTGCCTCCACGTCTTCGTGCTGAGACAGCAAGTGGACATGTCTATGAGGCTAATTTTAGAACTATCATGAGCGTTGCTATCAGCCTGGTATCGGGTTGGAATGCCAGCATATACTGATCATACAATTGCATTTGTATGTAACTGTCCATTTGCCTCAGGTGAGGTGTGGGTTTGGGCAGTGGCACATGGGTGGTCCTCTGGTTTGGGAGCACTGAGTGCTGAGCGGCGGGCTGGAGCCCTCAACACTGCGTCGGGTTTGTGTCTCTGGTGCTCAGATTCCCAGTGTGACAAGGGAGGTAGGGGAGAGCTGGGGCTTCCCTCTCAAGCCCTGTGGTGTTTGTGTGTGTGTTTTTTCTTTCAGGTGACTCTCATCCACTCCAGAGTACCCCTGGCCGACAAGGAGCTCCTGCCCTGTGTGCGGCAGGAAGTCAAGGAGATCCTTCTCCGGAAGGGTGTGCAGCTGCTGTTGAGTACGTGTGGCAAACCCCTCCTGCCCAGCCCCTACCTGCTGATGTACCGCCCAATGCCTAACCATGGCCATGGCAGGGTGGGGCGGGAAGGGGGGAGAGGGGGAGGGTGCACGGCAGGGGGGGTGGGGGCGTGTCAGGGGCAGCACATCCACTCAGGCTTCCTCTTTCTCACTTTATCTGAAAAGCGTCAGGAAGTCTCAAGCATCAGAGCTTGCTTGAGCTGTATCCAACTGGAGGTCAAAGTCACAGGGCTAGCAGTCCCCGGCTGTAGATTAGGACAAGGACAGATAGGAGATGCCATTTACAGAATGACCTAAGTGCCTCTAAAGGATCCGCCCCACGTTTTGATTTTTGCTGTCTCTGTGGAAGAGGGAACAGGGTGTAATTTGAGGCATAGAGTGTGACTCCCCCCCCCCCCATGCCCTGCCCCCACCCCCAGGGTGAGCTTCCTTGTAGTCCTGGCTGTCCTGGAACTCGCTCTGCCTCCCAGCACTCCACCTGCCTGTGCTGGGACTAAAGGCCATCACTGACTTGTTTTTGAGGGTGGCTTTTTTTTGAGTCCAGAGCAGGAAGGGAGAGAAGATCCCAGTGTTTGGAGTGGGGTGACACCTGGGTGTCACCTTCATGTTCTGTGCAGAAGGGAGTGTGGCCGTTGCTGTGGAAGCCCCTCTCGGCTGTCACAACCTCCTTTGGCAACTGGTCACGGAGGCCTGGAAGCACGCTGCGACCAGATGGTTCCCTCGCTCTCTCTGCCTTTGTCATCCTCCCGCCCACCCCACCTATCCCTTAAAATAATTTTTATGTGTGTGGTGTTTCGCCTGTGTTCACGTCTATGTACCATGTATGTGCCCAGTGCTTATGGAGGCCCGAAAAGGACATTAGATCCCCTTGAACTGGAGTTACAGATGGTTTTTTTTTTTGGCTTCTCTTTGGATGCTAGGAATCAAACCTGGGCCCCCTGGATGAGCAGCTTCTGCTCTTAACCACTGAGCCCTCTCTCCAGCCCCTTCATTAAAAAAAAAAAAAAGAGATTGAGAATATCTCATGTAGACCAGGCTGACCTTAAACTGTGTCATCGTGGAGGACTTTGAACTTGTAATCTTCCCGCTTCCGTTTCAAGAGCACTAGCATGCACACCATGCTTAGTTTTTGCAGTGCTGGGTCTAGAACACAGGGCTTTCTGCATGTCGAGCAGTACCCTACCAGCTGAAGGCTTTCTCTGCTTTCTGGTTTGCTGGTCAGTGCTGTACTGGGGGCCTTCTGCGTAGATAGGACAGGCAAGCTGCCATTCATTCAGAGAAGGAAGGGGTCCTCTGTTGAGTAATAGTGTTTCCTAGAATTTGGAAAGATTGGCTTCTCGTCGCTTTAGCTTCCTGGAACTCTCCTCCAGATGGATCCCCTGGGGACAGATGTCCACATACATTCTGCTGCTCGGGGATGGGACAGGAGAGTGGACTGCGGGCAGAGTCACGAGGGGGAGCAGTCACCCCCCCCCCGCCCCCGTGGTGGTCTGCGTAAGTGTGTGCCCAGCCTCTGCCAGCTTCCTGTCATGGAACCCTCCACAGGTGAGCGGGTGAGCAATCTGGAGGAACTACCTCTCAATGAGTACCGGGAGTACATCAAGGTGCAGACGGACAAGGGCACAGAGGTGGCCACCAACCTGGTGATCGTGTGCAATGGGATCAAGATCAACAGCTCTGCCTACCGCAGTGCATTCGGTGAGTGGGCGTCCAACAGTAGTTGCTCCCCAGGCTGCCTCCTCTCTTTGGCATTCAGAGACACCTCACAGCCCTTGGCACCCGAACTGGCACTCTCTGTCTCTTCCTCTTACCCCATCAGCTCATTAGATCTTGAACTTTAAATTAAGGTGAGAGGCCTCGCCTGCTCTGCTTGGAGGCCATAATCTTCCAAGGTTAGGGCTCTCCCCCCTAGTGGTGAGAGATGGGAACAGGCTTCAGAGAGGTGAGAACGGCTTTTCCAGACCCAAGCATCTGGCTACTTCAGTTCCAAACCTCCATTTGTGGGAAATGGGGACCTTAGCACGTCTCCATCTCTTACAGCTCAGTTCTCAGATACCAGGGACTGATATGAGAGTGAGACTCAGTGGCCAAGCCCCGTGATTGCTCTGCATCACCAGGGACCTGTCACTCACTGAGCACCCTTCCCTGACCAGTCTCTGCCCAGTCCAGCAGGACGTTAGCTTTTAGTCTAGAAGGAAGGCAGTCCACAGCGGTAGTGGGCAGATCACCCGGAGTTTACCACCTCACTGTTCTAATGTGTTTTCAAAGATAAGTTCTTTCAAGTCCCTACGGAAGCTGTTTATTGTTTAGGACAGGCCTGCACCTATTTTAAAATTCCAATGTGTGTCCCAAAGGCAGCCAAAGACTTAGAAAGGCAAGGGACTTGGGAAGGCTGTCTGTGTTTTGTCTGAGGAGGCTTCCGGGAGCTTTGCCTCTTCCTGTCCTTGCCTCGTCTTGCCTCTTGCTCTGCCTCAGGCTTGCCTTGGCAGGAAGGGCCTGGATGGGACTTCAGGCAGGATGACAGCAGGTGACAGCAGGTGACAGCAGGTGACAGCAGGTGACAGCAGGTGGAGGTGTCACTTGTAGCATACATCTGAAGTGACTGGACCCACACCCGGGACTCATCCCGCTGGAGGCTACTTTACATCGTTATTCAGGGGCTGCTTGGGTGTCGTCTCGCCCAACAGAGAATAAACTGGCCAGCAATGACGCTCTGAAAGTGAATGAGTTCCTCCAGGTAGAAGGTTACAGCAATATTTATGCCATCGGTGACTGTGCCGATATCAAGGAGCCCAAGATGGCCTATCATGCTGGCCTGCATGCCAACGTTGTCGTGGCCAACATTGTCAACTCCATGAAGCAGAGGCCTCTCAAAGCCTACAAGCCAGGTAAGAAAGCCTGGACACTTTGTTAAGTGTGGGGTAAGATGTGTGGAAGGCTTTGGGGGCTATAAGGTAAATGACCAGTAGACTGCAGGTCACAACACCACGTTTCTTTAAAAGCAAACGTGCCTGGGGCTGTAGCTCAGTGGTAGAATTCTTGCCTGGCACACTGAGGGCTCATCTCCAGCATTGCTAGCAACAGAGGCTGGGGAGATGGCCCAGTCAATAAGCCACTTTCAAGGAGGGTCCTAGTTTGATGCCCAGAACACATATTCAAAAAAATAAAAACAAAACAAAACAAAAAAGCCTGGGCCTCATGGTTAGTGAGAAATCCAGTCTTAAAAAAAAAAAAGTGAATGTTACCTGAAGAATGACAGCCCAGGTTGTCCTCTGGTCTCAGCATGTACCCACACATGCATACATAGGCACACACACATGCACACATAGGCACATGTACCCGCACGCACGCACGCACGCACGCCCTGACTTGCTTTCTTGCCCGTGAACTCTGAAGGCTTCACTTAGGTTGCATCCCTCAGGCATCTCCTTGCTTTGTCTGCCTCCCAGGTGCGCTGACCTTCCTCCTGTCCATGGGCAGAAATGATGGCGTGGGCCAGATAAGTGGCTTCTATGTGGGCCGCCTCATGGTGCGGCTGGCCAAGAGCAGGGACCTCTTCGTCTCCACAAGCTGGAAAACCATGCGGCAATCTCCGCCATGACAGGGAGGCTGCGTGGGAGTTTGCGGTACTGCTTGGAGGGGGTGACAGACTGCTTGACAAAGGACACCCTCCTGACAGGTGCCCAGGGCAGAAGCTCTTTGTCTGGATCATGGTGTCAGTCGTGGGATGACTGGAAATGCAACTTGTGTAAAGCCAAAATGAGAGACAGAGAGTAAAGAGGGGAGACATTAAAAAAGAAAAAAAGCCCTAGAAGATTCGTTCTGGGTTTGGAAGGTTTGCTTGCAGCTGTGCCAGCTAAAGGGTCTTGGGGCAGCAGAGGGGGTTTTCTGTACAGTAGACTTCCGTCTGCGTGCACGTGAATGCATAGGGCTTTGGACGCAGTGTGCAGAGCTCCCGTTGGGCAGAGCTGGGCTCCTCTAGGTGGCGTCCTGCTTGTAGTAGAGTCACAGCACAAGACAGCTAGAGTGCTGGAGACAGCCTGTGAGACGACCTCTCCTCACTTGGGGCGGGCAAGCTTGTATACCCCACAGTAAGTGGGTTATTAATAGGGACCTCGTTTTATTCTCCCAAACTTAGTATCTGCACATTGCTATCTCTTTCTTCTCTCCTTTCTCTCTCCCTCTAACTCTCCCCCACCTCCAGTGTTTATCTACATTATTCAGACTGGCCTGGAAGTCCTGAGCTCAAGTAATACTCCTGCCTCAGCTTCTCTAGTCCCTGGGGACCCTCTTAACTTTCATGTCCCTTTATCTCCATATCCATCTCACTGTAGGTCATAGATACATTCACAAAGAGTTAGACAAAACTCCCCTCTAGTTAGTCCATCTGATGTGGAAATCTCTTCCCGGTGAAAGATAAAAGCAACGTCTGTCCCCTTCTCCTTAGGTCTCAATAGCAAACCAAGGCACAAGTTTGTAAAACTTTATTCTGGGGAACCAGTGAGTTTATTGGGGGTTCCTTATATAGTATCGGAGGGGTGTGAGTGCTTCTCCCCACAACAGGCCAAACCTGGAAATCTTTAACCAACACGGATGAGGGCTTCATTACCTATGGAGCAGCATGAATGGAGTCCTGTCTCCTAGCCTTTCCTGGCCTATATTCTTTAGCCCCTCCTGGAGGCCACATGGGATTAAGGCAGTGTTGGATGCACCAGGCGGTAGGATGCTGCCGGATACACAGGTGAGGGTCTCCTGCCTCCCCGCCAATCAATCCACAAGCATAGAAGCAGTCAACAGTGCCAGCGGGCACATTCCTTTTAAAACGGAGCAGATGCCCGGTGGTTCACACCTTTAAACCCAGCACTTGGGAGGCAGAGACAGGGGAGTCTCTGTGAGTTCAAGGCCAGTCTGGTCTACAGAAGAGTTCTAGGACAGCCTCCAAAGCAATACAGAGAAACCCTGTCTCAAAAAAAAGGGGGGGTGAGAAACTGATCCCCCACCCCGGGATGTGGTCGCTTGGCTCTGAGGATAGTCACCAAACACCATCCTAGCAGGGTGAATTTTATAAGTCTGGCTTGCCACTGCTGTAGGAATCCCAGGAAGGAGATCTATGACTCGGGGCAGGTACTAGCTGCTTGACCTTCAGAGAGCAGACTGGCACCTGTGGGTGATTTGATTTCCAGGTTATCGTCACAGGCTGCTGCTGGGACATGGGGTGGGAGGCTATGCTGGCTGCCGATTCCTGGTCAGCTCCTGTCACTCAGGCCCTCACTGGCTATCATGTCTACTACAGACTGCCAAGGTACACAAATGACTTCTCTCTCCAAGTGAGCTCACCCAGCAGGGAAGAGCTCATTGTGCATGGCCCAAGGTGAATGTCCATGGCAGAAAAGACAGACTGTGAGTACACTCCAGCAGATTGAGACATCACCCTCTCCACCCTGCCTCTCCCCGCTTGTTTCTGGCCTTGGCCTCTGGTTATGAGTGACAGAATCCTTGAGCATCCTCCCTGATGCTCCCAGGCCATCTCCACTGGTACTGTGGCTAAGGTCTGTTCTGTTTAGTTGCACAGGCCAGAGTTGAGACTTGAGTCTCCCTCCAGGGAATGCTGACCCCACTGGCAGTTTTGCCACCGCCTCTGCTGCTCTGGATGCTAGCCAGCAGGCTCACCCTCTCTGAAGGCAGAACCAACCGTCTGCAGAAAGCCAGCCATGATGCTGGCTGACCAGGAGCCTTAGCACGGTGGGACTCTTCGGTGACAGACCTTTGGGCGATTTCTTTACACTGGTGGCGACAGTTTTCCAAGAGGAGGAAATATTGCAATAAAGGGATATATTATAAGAAAGACACTGGATCTTTTATTTTTTTTCTTTCATTTTTTTCTTTTTCTTTAAAAAACAAAAACTGAACAAACAAAAATCCCAAGGCAAAACCCTTTGAGGTGTAGTTACAAATATTTTAGGCGTCAGGGAGGGGACCTTATAACAGAAGAGAAAAGCACCCTAGGACGTCTTTTCCATCTTCTCTCCCCTGAGGGAGACAGCCAGTTCACCCAAGTGGCTGTCTCACCCTCTTGACTCAGAAACCAAAGACTTAAGAACTTTGAAAAGACTCTGTGTGTGTGTGTGTGTGTGTGTGTGTGTGTGTGTAAGAGAGAGAGAAAGAGAGAGAGAGATTGAGAGTGTGTAAAAGTCAATGCTATAAATCTAAACAAGGTCTATTTTTATGTTTGTTTTTTTAAAAAAAGTTCTAAAACAACAGGAAGAAAACACATGGAAAGAAACCCCTGGTGGAGACCTGGTTAATTTTGGAAGTGGCCCTTTGTAAAGAGAATATAAAACGCACCGGGCCCCTTCCCCAGGCAGGCAGGACTGGTTCCCACTGCCCTTGCTACCCACTCAGCCACCCTCTGCTCCCCTGCCATGTCACCCTTCCTCAATCCTTTTAAAAAATAAAACCCCTGCTCTTGTGACATGACATTGATCCTCCTCCATCCCCACTGGAGAGCTACTTGGTGTCCAGTTTGGCCATCTCCTGTACGTAGATACCGATGCTCTCGCTGTCGAAGAGCAGGAAGTACACATTCTTCAGTGAGGATGAGCTGGAGTCGTCGAAGTGGGCCGATATGGCCTTGAGTGTCACCTGGGCGGCTGTCTGTTTAGGAAAGCAGTTTCTATGCCCAAACAAAAGAAGAGCCTGTGTCATTTTGGTCCTTGTACCCACTGCTGCAATACTCTCTTAGCTTGGGGAAAGGGACATTGGTTCCTTTTTGGTTTTGTTTGACAGGTCTCACTATGTAGCCCTGGAACTCACTGTGCAGACCAGCTGGCCATGAACTCAGAGATCTGCCTACTTCTGCTTTCCGGAGTGCACAGATTAAAAGCATGTGACATCACACCCTGCTAACAGCTTCTTTTTCTTCTTCTGGCCCCGGACCCTTGTTTGTACAGCGTGGGACTCAGCATGTGCAGGCCACTCCACAAATTACCTTCTCTGGCACCAGTCAAGGGGAAGACGTGGGTAGGTGGAGATGTCCCTGCTACATAGTTACAACACTGTCTCAGATATGATGATTGCAGACAAGCTTACAGGGCTGGTATGTAAAAGATGTCACAATTCTGAACCTGTGTCAGCAGGCTCAAGGAACTTGACTCTGTAAACTCTATCGATTTCACATTTATAAGACCATGTCTTCAAAAAACAAAAATGTTTTGTTTTGTTTTAGTGCCTTCAAATCAGTTCACATGCTAATCAGTTTCTCCGACTAGGGCCTTTCAAAATTGCTGGGGCTGAGGCTCAGTTGGTCAGTGTTTGTGCCTAACAAGCTGGGTTAGGTCTCCAGGACCACATAAAGCAGGCATGGTGGTTTATGTCTGAAATGCCGGCACTTGGGAGGTGGAGGCAGGAAAATTGCAAGTTCAAGGTCACCCTCAGCTACTTAGTTCAAGACCCTACCTGCAAAAACAAAGCAAAACCCACATTCACATACACACTTAATCTTTCATTTACCCACACATCCATGCCATTTGTGACTTCAGCTACTTTGGATGGGCTGGGTTTGTGAAAGTTTTGCCGAGGACCCCACCAGTAGGGAGTCATTGATAATGCTGTTTACCAGCTTCTAGGGACATAGCCACCATGGCTATTTGGGGTTTGCTACTGAAGACACCTGGGGTAGGTCCAAGAGTCCAGGATATGTCTGCTTCCTGAATTCTGTGTGGAACATAGCACCCGTGGTCTGTTTATGGAGAATACATCCCATAGTACTCTGGTTTTTTCTCAGCTTTCCTGTGTCTCAGAGCCCAGCCTCGTTCCATCAAACTGCAGCGAGAACCCTCCACTGCTCTGGTACAGTCATCAAAATCTTAGCCTCCTCCTCCACTGTCCCCTGGAGCATTCCCTGCAGATCTGGAAGCAGGTCTGGGGTGCGGTCCAGGGGCTGGATTTATAACCAGGGGATGCTGCTGATGGATCCCAGACCACATGTATAACAGCAGGGCCTGTGAGTCTGGGGTTTTGGATTGTGTGTTCTAGGTGAGGGCCAAGGGTGGGGATGTGGGTTTTAAACATAGCAGGCTTTTAGAAACAAGCATGGGGTACTCTGTGACGATGGCTTGGTGGGGAAAGTGCTTGCCACAGCAGCATGTAGACCTGAGTTTCTTAGAACAAATATAACAAGGTGATATAACATGGCGATAATGGCTGAAACCCCTAAAGACAGGTAGATCCTTGAGACTCGCTGGCCAGTCAGTCTAACCTGATTGGTTAGCTCAAAACCAATCAGAGACTTGCCAAAAAGAAGGTGGTAGACCGGGCGTTGGTGGCACACGCCTTTAACCCCACCACTGGGGAGGCAGGGGCAGGCAGATTTCTGTGAGTTCAAGGCTAGCCTGGTCTACATAATGAGTTCTAGGTCAGTCAAGGTTACTCAATGAGACTGTCTCTCTCTCCCCACTGTCCCCCCCCCCCAGACTTAAAACAGGGTTTCTCTGCGTGATGCTTGCTGTCCTGGAACTCAATGCATCTGATCTGACTGCCTCTGCCTCCCTAGTCTAAAGACATGGGCCACTGACCTAGTTCAGGTCAGACCCTAGCTCAAACAAACAAACAAACAAACAAACAAACTAACTAACTAACTAACAATCCCCAAACCAAAACAATAACAACAAAAACCCAAGGTGCCAGAGTGTGATAGTACACATTATTAATCTTAGCACTGAGGAGACAGAGGCAGGCAGATCTCTCTGAGTTTTAGACTAGCCTAATTTACATATTGAGTTCCAGGCCAGCCAAGATGACACAGTGAGGCCCTTTCTCAAACAAAAACAAGATGGGCAGCGTAGAGTCATCTGAGAGGAGAAACCTCAACTGAGGAATTTCCCAGATCATAATGGCCTGTGGTAATGTCTGTGGGGGCGAGGGGAGTGGTGGGGGGGAGAGTTGTCTTGATTTAGGGTTGATATGGAAGGGCCCAGATCACTGTGGGTCCTTAGCAGATGATCTTGAGTTATATAAAAAGCTATCTAGGGCTGGAGAGATGGCTCAGAGGTTAAAAGCACAGACTGCTCTTCCAGAGGTCCTGAGTTCAATTCCCAGCAACCACATGGTGCCTCACAACTATCTGTAATGAGATCTGGTGCCCTCTTCTGGCCTGTAGGCATACATGCAGGCAGAACACTGTATACATAGTAAATAAAATCTTAAAAAAACAAAAAACAAAAGCTATCTAAGTATGAGCCAGCAAGCAGCATTAGATCAGTTTCATTATCAAATTCCTGCCTTCAGTTCCTGACTTCCTTCGATGATGGACTGTGACTGGGAAGTGTAAGACACATAATCCCTTTGCTCCTCTAAGTTACTTTAGAACACTTTTTTTTTTAAAGGACAGAATGTTTTATCACAGCAACGAGAGTATTAGTTACCTGAGGAATGACACTCGTCTCCACAACACACGTCCGCATATGACATACATGTGCACTCACAAGCAAACATAAAACTAAAATGCTACCTGGCTTCATCCATAGTGTCTTTCTGTTCTGGGCATTGATAGCCACAAGCCAGGGAAGCTGGTTCCAGGCCAGGGAGACTTGCCACCCCAGGCCAGGGGCTTGTCTGTGTTTGGAAGATGGGAAATTGGGTTTTCTACTCTGTTGCCTACGTAACATGCTGCCAGTGCTGGCGGACCCTGTCTGCGTCTTCTAGAATGGGCCGATGCAATGCGGACACGCTGGTGAGCAGCTGGTTCCCAACGGAAAGGCTGGGGACAGAAATTGTGTCCTACCTGCCACTGGGGAAAGGTGGGAAGGCGACAGACTTAAGTTTCTTGTCCTCAGCTGCAGACAGGCAGTTTTTGATGGTCTCTTCCAGCTGTTCTTCACATCTGTCCGAGCCCCACTGGGGGATGTGACAGTGGATGACAAATTTGGCAGCGAGTCCACTGGATTGGCTGACGGCAGCTGGGAGGAGAGAAACACAGTAGGTTATTTCTGGAGCTCCACCTTCATCTGGGTGATGATAGTGGGCCTCCCAGGTGACCCTGTGTCACATTGTGAAGGACGAGGGGGTGATAGCGCAGGTAGCTAGACACATTCATCCCTGTCACTGTGTGAGAAACGCCAAGTCTGGGTGTTGATGTGACAGTTTATCACTGTGGGTGACCTGCCCACATGCCCCAGGTCAGGGACCACCTGGGTGGTTCCTAGTGGCAGGAACATATCAAAATAACATCTAGTGCTATGGAAGGTCAAGTAACTGCCATCCCCAAACGTGGGAACCCCCAGGTTAACTGTCCCCTGACATGGCCAAGAGCACTTTGTGACTGCAATTAAGGACACTGGAGATGGACTGTCGGGGTGCCACACTGGTTTTGTTGATTTGCCATGATGCCAGGATTAAAGGTGTGCCGCAGTGCCTGGCTTTTCTTTTCTTTTCTTTTTTTTTTAGTTTTTCAAGACAGGATTTCTCTGTGTAGCAGCCCTGGTGCTGTCCTAGAACTCGCTCTGTAGACCAGGCTGTCCTAGAACTCAAGAGATCCACCTGCCTCTGCTGCCTAAGTAATGGGATTAAAGGTGTGCACTACCACCACCTGGCAAGGTTTAATTAAAAAACATGTTTTTTTTTTTTTTTTAGGTATGAGTATTTTGCCTGCCATGCATGTCTGTGTACCATATGTATGCGGTACCCAAGGAGACCAGAAAAGGGCAAATCCTCTGGGACTGGAGTTAAATATGACTGTGAGCCACCATATGGATGCTAGGAACTGAACCCAGGTCTTCTGGAAGAGCCATCTCTTTAGTCCCTCCTTCCTCTTCTCTTTTTTAAAAAATAAGTTTATTTTATGCATATGGGTGTTTTGCCTACATTTATGTTTGCACTGCCTTAAGAGGCTAGAAGATAGCCTGTGTCTTCTGCAAGAGCAGCCAGTGCTCTTAACTTCTGAGCCACTTCTCTAGGCTCTTTTCTTTCTTTCTTTCCTTCTTTCTTCCCTCCCTCCCTGCCTCTCTGCCTCCCTCCCTCCCTGTTTTAATTAGGGTTACTATAGCTGTGAAGAGTCACTATGACCATGGCAACTCTTACAGTTTTATAGCTTCAGTCCATTATCACCCTGGCAGGACACGGCAGCATGCAGGCATATACGGTGCTGGAGAAAGAGCTACATCTTGATCCCGTGGGCAACAGGAAGTGGTCTGAGACACTGGGCGTGGCTTGAGCATATATGAGATCCCAAAGCCCAACTCCACAGTGACACACACACACACACACTAATTTCAAGTGCATGCCATTCCTAGTTATCTTTCTCTCTGTGGATCAAGGCATAAATTCTCAGCTACTGCTCTAGCACCATGCTTGTCTGCCAGCAGCCATGTTTCCAGTTGTGATGGTCACAGACTCACGTTCTGAAACTGTGGTCCTCAGTAAACTTCTTCTCTAAGTTGCCCTGGTTGTGCTATTTGCTCAACACAATAGAAAAGTATCTAAGACACCATCCAACTAATGCCAAGGTCAAGAGCAGAACTTGCTACCCTTCTGCAAGGCAAGGTTAGCTGTTACCCACTTTATTTTGATTTTTTTTGTGGGGCATCATATTTGTGTGTGTGCGCATGTGTGTGCACTAATGCATGCAGGTCACAGTACACATGTCAAAGTACAATGCAGGGAGCTAGTTCTTCTATTGAGAGGGTCCCAGGGCTGAACTCAGGTTTTTAAGCCCATGGTGAGAACTGTCACTGGCTCAGTGATCTCATCAGCTCAAACTACAATTTCCTTATCTCTCCTCATGGGCAGCTTTAAGGATTCCTCTTGATTCCATCTTGCTCAGAAGGCATCAGGAAGTGGACTCAGATGCTGGGTGTGGCTTGAACATATATGAAACTCAAAGCCTGCCTCTACAGTGATACACTTCCTCCAAGAAGGCCATACCCACTCCAACAAAGCCACAACTCCTAATAGTGCCACTCTCTTTGGTGGCCATTTTCTTTCAAACCATTGGTGTGTGTGTGTGTGTGTGTGTGTGTGTGTGTGTGTGTGTGAGAGAGAGAGAGAGAGAGAGAGAGAGAGAGAGAAGAGAGAGAGTAGAGGCTAGAGGAAGTCTTGGTGTCATCTTCATGGAGACTGTCCCCTCCTTTGAGATGAACTCTCACTGGCCTAGCCCTCACTAAGTAGGTTAGACTGACTGGCCAATGAACCCCAAGGATCCTCCTGTCTCTACCTCCCCACCAATGGGTCACAGGCCTATGACAACGAATGTGCCTGGCTTTTAACTGGGGTGGGGGTGAGGGATGGCATATCTTGTTGTATACAATGACCACGTATGGATGTGAGAGGCTGGAGACTGCAAGGATGGGGTTGAGCCAGGCTGGGATGCAGCCCAGTCTCACACTTACCTTCAGCAACTTCCAAAGGGCCTTGGGATTTGCGAAGCTCTTTTACTGTTTCCAAGAACTCTTTACCCCCAGCCTTTTCCAAGGCTTTACCTACAAAGAAGAACAATGGGGACTGTGGTGAACGACCTTTCAATAGAGTCTTATTGTTGGATATGGGTTAGTATGTCAGGAAAGCCTTGAAAACTAGGGATGCCATGTCCCATTTGTTACCCTGGAAGGAAGCACAGGCGGGACTACCAGACAAGGAGAATGCTGGGAAGAGGAACACACAGAGAGAGAAAGTCTCAAGAGAGATGCCATGTAGCTACTGGGAAGGTAGGATGCATGGGCATTCTCTGGTAAGAAAAGGCCATGTGGGGATATACAAATTAATAGTTATGGATTAGTAATCAAGAGACAGCTAGCCAGTAAGAAGCCTAAGTTAAGCTGGGCGGTGATGGCGCATGCCTTTAATCCCAGCACTCAGGGGGCAGAGGCAGGCGGATCTCTGTGAGTTCGAGGCCGGGCTGGACTGACAGCCTCCAAAACAATACAAAGAAGAAACCCTGTCTCGTAAAAACCAAAAAAAAAAAAAAAAAAAAAAAGAAGCCTAAGTCATAGGTCAAACAGTTTATAATTAATATGAGCCTTTGTGTGTTTATTTGGGACTAAATAGCTGTGGGACAGGGTGATACAGAAACTTCCGTCCACACTCCTGTGAAAGGGTCATACTACCCCTAAAAGGGTCTCTACCCACAGGCTGAGAACCACTGCCTTAGACCCTATTTCTTGAGCCTGAATGTCTTGAAGTCTCTAGATCTACTGTCGATTTAAACAGATAAGCAGGTAGAAACATGTTTAGTGATACTGCAAGCAAAAAAATCCAAACTGGGAGAAAATCGGTCTGGTTTCTCAGTAAATAGACCTCAAAGAAGTGTGGGAGAGGCATTGGGTTAAAAGACTTTTCTCCCCCCCATTTCACTTAGTGTGTGTGTGTGTGTGTGTGAACATGTGTGCACATGTGTGTATAGGTCAAAGGACAACTTGGGCAAGTTAGGTCTCTCCTTCTACCATGTGGGTCCCAGGGATCAAGCCTGGGCAGTAAGTGTCTTTACATTTAAATTTTGTGTTGCAGATTGACTCTAGGATTTTGTGCATATGATGCAAGGTCCTACCACCAAGCTACACTTGTATCCCCTAGCACATTTTTTAAATCTTGTGCTAGGGGATACAAGTCAGGGCCTGGGCTTGGACAGGACGACTGACTTGGGTGCTGGTGGTACCGGATGGACTCTTGATGGCAGTCTCCTAGTGACGCAGCAACAATGAAGACCTGTCAGTTAGGGAGTTGGGGTGAGCTGGTGTTGCATCCAGCCCTGTGCCATCTGGTCTTCAGACCACCTGTGAGCACACCCAAAGTCACACAGCTAGGAAGTGATCTGTAAGTGCCTGGAGAGAGACCAAGGCGACTCAGGTTGCTCTCTTGCCTATCTGCCTGCCTCTTAGCCCAATTCACCTCCTCTGACTGCCACAGGTCAGCCACAGGGTCCACCAGCGTGGTCCAAACTTGACTTTTCACTTCCGCAACAGCGTGCTTCACCCCACCCCACCCTACTTTAAAACAGAGAAGTAGAACTATGAGGATGTCTGAAACAGAAACTTGCTTTGTTTGCAAACAAAACATAGCTGGAGGTTTGGCCACTAGGGGGCGTCCTTCCTCTGCCTCCTGAAAGGCAATGTCAGGGTCTGTAACTCGGCAAGAAACAAGACGATTTGCAGTTCTGTTATTGCCCAGTGCTACCCCACCAACTTTCTAGCATAGCAAATGGCCTCTGGTGCCAGAGAAATAGTGAGCCCAGTAGTTTGAGGCCACCACCCAGGGATGAACCGCTAGTACCGGGTTCAACTATTCACTCCATTTACCCTTTCCTTCCTTCCTCCCTCCTTCCCTCCCTCCCTCCCTCCCTCCCTCCCTCCCTTCCTCCCCTCCTTCCTTCCTTTCTATTTATTTATACTGTATACAGTGTTCTGTCTGCATGTTTGCCTGCAGGCCAGAAGAGAGCACCAGATCTCATTACAGATAGTTGTGAGCCACATGTGGCTGCCGGGAATTGAACTCAGTACCACTGAGCCATCTCTCCAGCCCCTCCATTCACCCTTTCAATGGAGGGTTTAAAACAAGTTTTGTACTGTGAAAACGGACAACATGGCTGCAAATGGACCAGATGGTGGCCATTATGTTTGCCTCTGACAGTGTGTCACTCCCCACCCCCCCCCCTTGTCCTTTACATCACTGCTTACAACCTCCATCACAACTCATGGGGTTGGCACAGTGATGCAGGCCTCCGGATTGCTTAGTTCTTTCTTTTTTCTTTTCTTTTTTTTGTTTTTGTTTTTCTGAGACAGGGTTTCTCTGTATTGTTTTGGAGGCTGTCAGTCCAGCCCAGCCTCAAACTCACAGAGATCTGCCTGCCTCTGCCTCCCGAGTGCTGGGATTAAAGGCATGTGCCACCACCCCCCGGCTGCTTAGTTCTTTCTAAAGTGCCCTTTATCTCTTTTTGGGGGCTGGGGGGAATTGAGATAGTGTCTCCAAATGCAGCTCATAACCGTCCTGCCTGCTTCCTGAGTGCAGAAGTTGCAGTGGTGTACCCCAAGTTCCCATGTCCCCTTTCCTTTCCACCAGGAGCATTCTCGACATGTGAACTTAGAACACATGTGAAGTTGAATCCAAAACGTGTGCGACCATGTTCGTTGCAGCGGCGCTCAGGATGGCCCCGTATGAAAATGACCCAGGTGCCACCATCAGCTACCGAATGGAAGCCCCACTATGGCATATCCATGCAATGAAATACCACACAGCCAAGAAAATAAACAAGCACACTCAGTGGCTTGGGCAGATCTTGCGGACATTAAGTTGAGCTAAAGGAGCCAGGCATGAAGAGTATATGGAGCCATTTCAATCACATCCAAACAAGCCCCTCTGTGCTGTTAGATTGCTTTCCTCCAGAGGAAGTCATGAAAAGGGGCAGGGCCGGAAGGGACCACTCACCAATCAATGTGCTGGCTGCACAATGGTCTTTACTCTTTGTTTTGAGACAGGGTCTTAGGTAGCTTAGGCTAGCCTCAAACTCCCTACGTGGTCAAAGACAATCTTGAATTTCTGATGCATCTGCCTCTACCTTCTGAATGTCACTGTTACACACGTGACACAGAACACCCAGTTTATGGCATGCTGAGGGTTGAGCTTTGTGTACTCCATCCTGCTGAGCTCGGTCATTTTGAGAAAGTGCCATCAGGTTGTACATAAACGGTCTGTCTCAATATAGCACCCCACAAGAAGCTTGACAAAATTTGTGTAGAATCAAAGCACTGCCTGTTCCTCTCCAGTGAGGCCACTTTATCCACAGAGAGACATTTCCACGGGGGACCTCAGGCAGAGGATGACCGAGTCCACGAGAACTGGACAGTGGGCTACGCCATGACACCTCTCCAAACCCCAGGTCTTACCTATCTCTTCCTTGAGGTCGATTTCGGCTGTGGTTGGGTGGACGATGCCCTCCACCCTCATGGAGCCAATATGGCTGATGTCACTTTGGGTCAGGGATAGCTGCATTAGGAAGGAAAGACAGTGATTAGGGGCAAGATTAACTCCCACAGAAAATCATCTTAATTTAGCCATCAGCATTATTTTTCTCAGTTATTCAGATTGAGGGTCAGCGTGGGGGCTCAAATTCCCAGGTATTTGGTTTTGAGACAGGGCCTCAGGTAGCTTAGGCTGGTCTTGAGGTCACTTATATAGCTGGTATTTGCCTTCAACTCCTTCTGCCTTCACCTCCTAATGCTGGGATTATAGGCCTGAGCTGCTGTGCCAGGCTTCCAGGGGTTTGTTTTTGAGCGGGCGCCTTTGAGTTCAGGAGCTCTTGAGACCAGCAGACTGCAAACACGCAGCCTCCATCATCAGGAACAGAAATGGGCTCTCCCTTCCTCTTTCTTTTCTTCATCGTTTATGTGTCTTTCGTCCCTAACCCTGGTGACCTTGGTCTCTATGGACACATCGTCTCAGTGGCTGTGTGTGGAAAGCAGCCCGAGGCTTGCTCTCTGCTCACCCCCGAGACAGGACAGAACATTTGGGGAGGTCAGCAGTATTGCCGTGGAGGAGTAGGTTCTGGGTTCCCACAACTGCCTCGTCCCCAATCCTCCTCCTGTGCTATGGACACACTCAAGGCTTTGTGAATGCCAGGTGAGCACCCTACCCCGAGCTACATCCTCAGCCCGAGTACCACGTTCTTTGGGCTGTCTATGTGGTTTCAGCAGAGGAGGATGAAGAGCATTTCCCAGTTTCCCTCACATGAATAGGAACTTTCTGATTCTCTAGATAAATTTGGGGGGATGTTCCTTGGACATTCATACCACCTTTTTGCATCTTAGTTTCTTTCATTTTCCTTTTGATTTTCTTTTTCTTCTTTTTGTTTTATTTTTTGAGACAGGGTTTCTCTGTGGAACAGCCCTAGCTGTCCAGCCTGGCCTTGAACTCACTGATATCTGCCTGCCTCCTGAGTGCTGGGATTAAAGGTGTGTGCCAGAAACGAATGAGGAACCCACCACATCTCTGCTCCCCAGAGACCTTGGGATCCCCACTGTATGGATGGAAATGAACTGTTTGGCAGGCTGAGAACAGGCAGCAACCAGAGATTCGGCTCGCTGACTCACTGGCTACCTCCCGGTGCATCTTATTTCAGCCCAGTTGACTCAATATATAAATTGTCTGCTCAGTGAATTTGTCCCGAGTAGAGATGAATTACTTGCATGTCTGGCAGGATGTTGAGATGTTGCTGGAATCCATCCTGTTAGGTTTTCATTTTATTTTTTTCTGCAGCTCAGGAAGGCAGGCAGACTGACTTATTGACAAATAATTCATTTCTAGCACCCGGCATAGTCAAGAAACATGCATGGCTATTCTCTCCCTCTGTTAAATGACATTTCATCATGGAAGCTAGGCCTCTTCGATCCTGGTTGGGAGTTAGCAATGGGTTTTTCTTGGTGGGTGCAGACATAACTGGGGCTTGGGGATTCTCCAGCAGAACCAGGAATGCCATCCTATTGATCAGATTCTCTAGGATGACTTTAGGTGACCTTAGGTTGACCAGTACAAGCCATTCTCAGCACCAAAGGCCTGGTTTGCTCTAGAAATGCATACATCACGTGGATTTTCCTTTAAAAATGGGCAATTCAAGAACTGAGTGGAAGGGAGGAAGGGAAGAAGGAGGTACGGCGGCTTGTGAACCGTGGGGTTATACAGAGGGGCGCACCACAGCCCAGTTCTGGAGTTTATTACCTTCTGCCCCAGAACGAGGCTCTTGGAAGACAGGATGGTGAAACCGTCCCCCGGCCCATCTTCCGAGGTGGAATTTGATGTTCCTTCTTTATCGCTGTCCTTTGGTTTGGACTGTGGGTGAAAACCAGAGAGATGAGAAAACAGTCTGGAGAAGCCTCCTCTGCGACTGCAGGATGGTTCTTCCATGGCTGCCAACAACTTGGGTGTGAAGGGAAGCGGTCAGGTGGTAAATTCTGGTTGATTTGTTTTGCAGTGAATGTGGGCATCATGTGTACTCTGCTGGTCCCTCTCTGTTCCTTCCCCTCCCTCCCTCCCTCCCTCCCTCCCTCCCTCCCTCCCTCCCTCCCTCCCTCCCTCCCTCCCTCCCTCCCTTTTTCCCATCTTTTCGCTATGACATCAACACACACATATCATTATGCTTCGCTCACCCCCTCCACTAGCCCCTCTGCTGTTTCTTTTCTCTGGGGTGGGGGTGGGGTCTACAGAATGAACTCAGGGCCTCACAGCGCTAATCATGCAGGGTGCTTCTGAGCCACATCCCAAGCTCTTCAGTCTCGTCTTGACGGAGAGCAACAAGAGACGGCAATGCAAGGAGAAGAAAAGGGTAACACAATATGGAGAGGTAATGCTGCCAGAGTGCCGGTCTCACAGGTAGGAAGCCCGGGTGTGATAGCCTCCATCACTCAATACCCAAGGTGTGATAGCATCCAAGCACTCAGCTACAAAGACAAGTGAGGCCAACCTGGACTACAAAAGACCTATTGTAAACAAACAAAACCACAGTAAACAAAATAACAAAACCCCACAGTATCACGACTATTACAGGAGCTAACAGGTCCTGTAGTCTTTATCCAAATCTGGACATAGAGGGGCTATTCTTGACTGCTTATGTTAATCTTTCTACACTTATAGTTTGTTACAAGCATCTAAGCCAGTGGTTCTCAACCTGTGGGCTGCAACCCCTTCAGGTCGCAGATCAGATCTCCTGCATATCAGACATTTACATTATGATTATAACAGCAGCAAAATTATAGTTATGAAGTGGCACCAACAATAATTTTATGGCTGGGGGTCACGACAACATGAGGAACTGCATTACAGGGTTGCAATGTTAGGAAAATCAAGAGCCACTGAATTCTAAGCCAAGTAGCAGGGTCAAGGAGCTGCATTAATGCTGGGCCTCCGTCCTCCCCAGGATTGTCCTGGGGCTATGTGGCAGGGGCGTGAACTTTTGTGTTCTCATGAGGACCTGTAAAGTTCCTGTCGTTTACCACCCTCGATGGAAACACTCGGCATCTCTCCTGCTCAGGGCTACTGAGCATGTGAAATGGATTCTTTTCAATGCTTGGGAGAAAACCCAGAGCCTCCTACATGATGGGTGTGTGCTGCACCACTAAGCTACATCCCCAGCTTAATTTTATCTCAAACTGTAATAGTCACATGTGACCGGTGCTTACTGCATTAGGCCAAACTCGAAAATACTTTTCCACAAGTGGTGGCATCATGGAGCTAAGTCACTTAGCTTGTAAGCTGCACAAATCACATGGAATCTATTGACCAAATCCAGGGCACTGTCTGTGAGACCCTGAAGGTGGCTTAACACCCAACCCGAGCTTTGCACACGGTGGATAACAACACCCTAAGTTGATGTCACTCCTGACTTTGGTGGGGACAGTGTTAGGGTTCAGTCATTAAATGTCCTCTGAAGGTCATGTGTTAAAGGTTTGATAGGCAGCTTGTGGCACCATTGGGAGGTGGTAGAAACTTAAGGAGGCAGGCCACAGTGGAAAAGAAGTCAGGTCATTCAATAGGTGCCTTTAAAGCAGATGCTGGGGTCCTGGTTTCTCTTCTTTTTCTTGATACTTCCTGGCTACTATGAAGTGAGCGGTTCTGTTCTTCCATACACTACTGCCAAGATGTTCTGTCTTGACCTGGCTCCAGAGTAACAGGGCCACGTGAATATGAACTTGATGCCTTTGATACCATGAGCCTTTCTTCCCCAGAAGTTGAATATTTCAGTTTGTTATAGCAATAAAAGCTGACTAATTCAAGCAGTAAGAAGGGTCTGAGGTAGCTTGGCAGTGGTGGTGCACATCTTTAAATCCCAGTACTCAAGAGGCAGGGCAGGTGGATCTCTGTGAGTTTGAGGCCAGCCTGGTCTACAGAGAAAGTTCTAGGATAGCTAGGGCTGTTACACAGAGAAACCCTGTCTCGAACACACACACACACACACACACACACACACACACACACACACACACACACACAAATGATCTGAGGACCAGGAATGTGACTTAGCAGGGGAGTACTGGTCCAGCTTTGCTTTAAAAAGAGAACCTGAAAGCCACCATTCTTTGGAAACATGAAGATGTCAACTCTAGAATCCAAGGTTCTTTAAATTTTATTTTATTCTATCATTTTAGGGGTTTAGGTGTTTGCCTATGTATGTGTTTGTATACCATGTGCATTGTCTGGTGCCTTTGGAGACCAGAAGAGGGCATGGGATCTCCTGGAACTGGAGTTACAGACAGTTGTGGGTGCTGGGAATTGAACCTGGGTCCTCTAGAAGAGCAGTCAGTGTTCTTAACCACTGAGCCATCTCTCCAGCACCACCTGAAAGGTTCTTTACTCTTCTGCAAACATATCCTCCCTGCTCATTCTAGTAAGATTGAGACTTACTAGATGGCCCAGGCTGGCCTCAAATTTGTAATTCTCCTGCCCCAGCTTCAAAATACTAGGATTAGAAGCCTGTGCCACCACACCCAGCACCATACACAATTTTATCACTCAATCCCAGTGCTAAGCTACAGTGTCTTTGGACCTTTGCAAACACTGACTTCCTTCTCACTGCAAGGGCATCTCTATCTGTTCAGGAAGATCTGACACATAACGTAGACATGTGACTTGTAAACACAGAAGCATATTCCTCTTAGTTCTAGAGATCCGGGAAGATCCAGATGAAGGTTTTCTAGAAGATTCTGTGTCTGGCAAGGGCTGGCTTCCTCACAGGTGAAACTGTGTGACTGTGTCCTCAAGTGATGGAGGTGAAGTTGTTTTGGGCCTTACTTTGAGGGTTTTGTGATGGGTGGTACTGCCACCTTCACAGGATCTAGAATTACCTGGGACACGGAACTCTGCATGCCTGTGAGGGATTGTTTTGATTTCATTAAAACTGCCCACTGGTGGGGCGGTGGTGGTGCACGCCTTTAATCCCAGCACTCGGGAGGCAGAGGCAGGAGATCTCTGTGAGTTCGAGGCCAGGCTGGACCGATAGCCTCCAAAACAATACAGAGAAACCCTGTCTCGTAAAAACCAAAAAAAAAAAAAAAAAAAAAAAAACTGCCCACTGTGGGCAGCATCATTCCCTGGCAGAGATCCTGGACTGCATTAAATGGAGAAAGGGAGTCGAGAATTCTTTTATGGTCTGTTTCCTGTCTGTAGATGTGGACAAGTGGTTTCAAACTCCTGTCACTTTTTTGGCTTTTCAAGACAGGGTTTCTCTGCATAGCCCTGGCTGTCCTGGAACACCCTCGGTAGACCAGGCTGGCCTTGAACTCAGAGATCCACCAGATTATGCCTCCAAGTGCTGGGATTAAAGATGTGTGCTGTCATCCCCAGCTCCAAACTCCCACCTCGACTCCCTCCACCCCCATAATGGATTATAACCTTGAACTATGAGACAAAATAAACTCCTTCTCCCTAAAGTTGCTTTCATTGGGGTATTTTATCACAGCAGTGGGAAAGTAAACTAAGACACACACTAATCTTGCACCTGAAGGATGTGTCACCATGATTTCACCATTGATCAAAGGCTCCACCTCCTAACCTTGTTCCTTGGGGGTTAGAGTTCCACAGAGAAGCAGTGTGTCTAAGGCAATGGTAACCCCTGCTCCCGAAATGCCCTGTGACTCACCTTCTTGGACGTCCGGGGCTTGGTGGCCTTGGATTTCTTACCCCCCTTCTTGCCCGATGCGGCCTTCCTTCCTCTTTTCTCTGGGGGTGGGGAGAGGATCGTTTCTGACTTTCCTTTGGTCCCTCGCTTTTTGGCCAGCAGCTCAGGGTGAATTCTCGGCAGGACACCCCCACTGGCGATGGTCACTCCTTTCAGTAGCTGACAGAGAAATGCAAGGAGCTGGTCAGGTCTTTGCCGGCTAACTCAGGTCTCAGTGCGGGCCTAACAAGGCTTGAGTCTGGCTTCTGCTTAACTAATAGAACTGATTAACATGCAGTTACTGGCTCTCCCATCCTGCCCTTGCAAAGCATTTCTCAGTAGGTATCCGCTGGTCTGTGGTCTTGCATAGACAGCAAAAGCAAGGCAAAACCAAAGGGCCAGAGACGTTGGAACTGGGACAATGCCCAGGGCTCTGGAATTTCAGATGACACCAGAGAATAGAGGGTTTCACAGGTAGGAAGCATAGCTGGTCAAACCTGGATTCAAAGATTAACACAAGAACGAGATCCAGTGGTTTGCACACGCTGAAACCCGTGTCCTATCAGGAACATATGTTTGACCGTGTACCTCCCAATGGATATATTTTGAATAATCAATTCATGGCCATATATTCTGAATATCTTAAAGCAGACAGTGGTCTCAACCCACAGCTGAACCACTAGCCACCCATATGTGACCAGAGCAGCACAGACAACTCGAGAGTCTAGAAACATCTACAGCAAGCTGTTACAGCACCACTGACTCTGACAACGAATGTTTGAGGATTTTCATTTTCATGCCTTTGGTTTTGTCTGTTTGTTTTTTGAGACAGGGTTTCTCTGTGGCTTTGGAGCCTGTCCTGGAACTCGCTTTGTAGACAAGGCTGGCCTCGAACTCACAGAGATCCACCTGCCTCTGCCTCCTGAGTGCTGGGATTAAAGGCGTGCGCCACCACAACCACCCAGCTTATTTCTCATTTTTCTAGTGATCAGTTTTTATTACTTTTTTTTGAAAATGGTCAATCTATGATGGATTGGCAACTTTGAAGATTCTTTAGTTTGAGAACAATGACATCAAGAGTATAAATATAAATAAAATTTCTCATACTATTTACCCATCAGCTTGCCTGGCATTCACTTGACTGTGGAGTCAATCAGTTCTACTGCATAAATAAGGACTCTCCTACTCAGATCCCAATAAATCATCCACAAGGTTTGAGTCAAGAAATTGTCAGGAATAGTACATGCATGCGGCGACTTGTATTTAATGATGGGACAAGGTCTTGAAGGCAAGGCAGAGTCTGTTCAAGAGGGGATTTGATCTTGACTCTGAATGCAGAGCCATCAGTATTTTCTCTTCTCTACCTCACCCTGGTGTGTGTATGTGCATGCGTGCGTGTGCATGTGCGTGTGCGTGTGCGTGTGTGTGTGTGTGTATGGAACTGGGAACTATCACAAGAATGACTGATGGCTGGCTGGGTCCACCCAGGAGTATGTGTGCCATCTGTTAATCCCTGTCTCCCAAAGTTGAGTCTCGGGTGCAGACCTACCTGGTTGAGCTCCTCATCATTGGCAACGGCCAGCAGGATGTGTCTTGGGGCTATCCGGGCCTTCTTGTTGTCCCTTGCAGCATTTCCAGCCAACTCTAGGATTTCCGCTGAAATTACAGGGGAAGCTTAATAGACAATCAAATTATATTACTATTGGTGTGTGTATGTGTGTGTGTGTGTGCATTCGCACACATGTGGAGATCAGAAAACAACTTTGTGGAGTTGGTTTTCTCCTTCTACCTTTATGTGGGTTCTGGGAGTCAGACCCATGCTGTCAGATTTATGCAGCAAGTGTCTTCACCTGCTGAGCCATCCCTCCCATCCTAAAATTTGTGATTTTTGTTTTGGGCTGTCATCACAGATACCTAGAGGTGTATGCGGTCCAAAGGCCACAGGTTGAATATATCTGGTACTTTACACCATTTATTTCTCTGGCATTTCTTATTTCTTTTAAATTTGCATACTTTGTATCTTCAAGTGTCTTACCTTCATGTACACGTGTGCACCATGCATGTGCATGGAGACTGCCGAGTTCAGAAGAGGGTTTTGGATCCCCTAGAACTAGAGCTAGAGATGGCTGTGAGCCACCATGTAGTTACTGCAATGGTTTGTTTTATTTTTCAGTTGTGGAAAGATGATGCATTGGCTTTAAAAAGTGTGAATGAGGGGCTGGCGGGATCGCTCAGTGGTTAAGAGCACTGGCTGCTCTTCCAGAGGACCAGGGTTCAGTTCCCAGAACCCATGTCGGGTAGGGTGGTTCACAGCCTCCTATAACTCCAGGGTCTAGCACCCTGTTCTGGTTTTCATGTGAGATACACTCACATGTTGGATATACTTACATAGATACATACACAAATACAAATAAAAAACAAATCCTTTTAAATACAAATACAAATAAAAGACAAATCTTTTTTAAAAAATGTGAATAGGTTTAGTGCGCCTGTTTACAAATGCCTGCTCTTGGGGGGGCTGAAGTGGAAGGAGCCCAAGTTCTGGGCTAGCCTGGGTTACACAGTGGGACTCAAACAAAAAACAAGAAAATGAGAAAATAGAAGAATGAGTTTAAGCTTGGTATTGGCACAAAAATAGACAGGTAGACCAATGGAATCGAATTGAAAACCCGGGTATTAACCCACACACGTACGAACATCTGATCTTTGACAAAGAAGCTAAAAATATACAATGGAATAAAGAAAGCATCTTCAACAAATGGTGCTGGCATAACTGGAGACTGGCATGTAGAAGAATGTGGATCAATCCATGTTTATCGCCATGCACAAAACTTAAGTCCAAATGGATCAAAGACCTCAACATAAATCCAGCCACACTGAACCTCTTAGAAGAGAAAGTGGGTGGTACCCTTGAACGAATTGGTACAGGAGACAGCTTCCTGAACATAACACCAGTAGCACAGACAGTGAGATCAACAATTAATAAATGGGACCTCCTGAAACTGAGAAGCTTCTGTAAGGCAAAGGACACAGTCAGAAAGACAAAAAGGCAGCCCACAGAATGGGAAAAAATATTCACTAATCCCACATCTGACAGAGGGTTGATCTCCAAAATTTACAAAGAACTCAAGAAGCAAGTCTCCAAAACATCAAAGGACCCAATTAAAAAGTGGGCTGCAGAACTAAATAGAGAGTTTTCAATAGAGGAGTCTAAAATGGCTGAGAGGCACTTGAGAAAGTGCTCAACATCCTTAGCCATCCGGGAAATGCAAATCAAAACAACTCTGAGATACCATCTCACTCCTGTCAGAATGGCTAAAATCAAAAACACCAATGACAATTTATGCTGGAGAGGATGTGGTGAAAGGGGGACACTCCTCCATTGCTGGTGGGAGTGCCAACTGGTTCAGCCACTTTGGAAATCAGTATGGAGATTCCTCAGAAAAATGGGAATAAACCTACCACAAGACCCAGCAACTCCACTCTTAGGCATATATTCAAAAGATGCCCATTCATACAACAAAGATGTCTGTTCCACTATGTTCATAGCAGCTTTATTTGTAATAGCCAGAACTTGGAAGCAACCTAGATGTCCCTCAACTGAAGAGTGGATAGAGAAAATGTGGTACATCTACACAATGGAGTACTATTCAGCAGAAAAAAATAATGGAATCATGAGATTCGCAGGCAAATGGATGACACTAGAAGAAACTATCCTGAGTGAGGTAACCCAGTCACAAAAAGAGAAACATGGCATGTACTCTCTCATATATGGATTTTAGACATAGATCTGGGGAGTGCCAGCCTACAATCCTATGGCCAGAGAGTCTGGGAAACAGAAACTTCATTTAGTGGCTGATCGAAGAAGAGGCAGACTCCCTCGATTAAGTACTGAGCTGAACTCAAGAAAGCCAGTAACAGAGAGGGAGGACTGATGATCAAAGGGATTAAGACTGGGCTGGTTTAACCCCCAGAAACAGCTGACCAGACAAAGGTTAACTCTTGAATCCCAGGCATCAGCCTGGGAATCCAGCATGGGACTGATCAAGACCCCCTGAATCTGGGTGTCAGTGAAGAGGCCTAGGGAATCTATTGAGCCTTGGGCAGCAGATCAGTACCCATCCCAAGTATACACACGGACTTTGGACTCCCATAGAACAATGTGAGGTGCACTCTCACCCTGAACTCTTGGGGAAGGGTCTAGGCCCTGCCCTATATGAAATGACAGACTATGGACATCCCCATGGAGGGCCTCACCCTCCCTGGGGGAATGAGGGGATAACGGGGGGGGGGGTTGGGGGGAGGGCACGGGAGGAGGGGAGGGAAAGGGAGAGGGACCTGGAACTGACTTGTGAAGCAACTTTGTTTCTTATCTAAATTTAAACTGGAAAATAAAATAAAAAAAAGAAGAGTGAGTTTAATGAGAAAGCCATTTACTAGAAAGCTGGAGGCAGTGGGCCAACATGCCTCACTGAAGAGGGAAGGAAGGGTGCATGTGTTTGCACAAATGTTCTGTGTGGACGTGCACAGACAAGTCTCTGTGTGTTGAAGGATTTCATGCCTGAAATGAACAGGGGATTCTGCACATGTCTTTGCAATCAACCAAATTTTAAACCAAATAGCCCATAGAGCTGCCATCATCCAGAAAACCTAGGGCAATGGTTGAAACTTGCCATAAGTATGCCATAGTAGCCAGGCAGATGTAATTAGCAAAAGCACTAAAACAAAACAAACACCAGAGTTAAATATTTATATGGCATTTCCAGAATAGAAAGCACTAATGAACTCCACATTCTTCTCGTGCCTTTACTGGAATACTCAGCAGTGGCTGAGTTTACTAACAGTTCACTGACACAGTGACCAGAGAGAGAGAGAGAGAGAGAGAGAGAGAGAGAGAGAGAGAGAGAGAGAGAGAGAGAGAGAGAGGGGCCCCCTCCACCCCCTATCAAGGCTGAGCAAGGTATCCCACCATGGGGAGTGGGCTCCAAAAAGCCAGTTCATGGCCCTGGGATAGGTCCTGGTGCCACTGCCAGGCCCACCCCAACAGATCAAGCCACATAGCTGTCACCCACATTCAGAGAGTCTAGTTCAGTACCATGCAGGTTCCCCAGCTGTCAGTCTATAGTGCATGAGCTCCCACTAGCTAGGGTCAGCTGTCTCTGTGGTTTTCCCCATCCTGCTTTTGACCCCCCCCCCCATGTTCATATGGTCCCTTCTCCCTCTCTTCAACTGAACTCCAAGAGCTCACCCAGTGTTTGGCTGTGGGTCACTGCATCTGCTCCCATCAGGCACTGGATGTAGGTTCTACGGTGACAATTATGGCAGTCACTCATCTGATTAAAGGGGAAGGCTGGTTCAGACACCCTCTCCCACCATTGCTAGGAGTCTTAGCTGGGTCATCCTTGTGGATTCCTAAGAATTTCTCTAGTACCAGGTTTCTCCCTAACCCCATAATGGCTCCCTCTATCAAGATCTCTCTTCCATTGCTCTCCCCCTCCATCTTTCCCCCCAACTGGGTCTTCTTGATCCCTCATGTTCCCATTCCTCATCCCCTTCCTTCTAACCCCCTCCCAGCTTACCCAGGAGATCTTAACTGTTTTCCCTTCCTGGGCCCTCCGTGTGTGTCCCTCTTAGCGTCCCCCTTTTTTATACCATACTTTTTGAGAGTCTTTCACTGAAATGAGAGCTTGCTCTTTTGAATAGACCGGCTGGCCAGTGAGTTTTGGGGACTCCCTCCCTCCCAGTGTTGGGGTTATAAGCCATGCACGGCTTTCACATGGGTGTTGGGCTACTAACTCAGGTCCTCATGCTTGCATAGCAAGCACTGTAGTTACTAAGCCATCTTACCAGCCCCATGACCTCATCTGCTGAATTAAAGGTTGGGGCACTGTAGTAGAAGTATGAACACAAGCCGGGCGGTGGTGGCGCACGCTTTTAACCCCAGCACTCGGGAGGCAGAGGCAGGCGGATCTCTGTGAGTTCGACAGCCTGGTTTACAAAGCTACAGAGAGAAACCCTGTCTCAACACCCACCCCCCCAAAAAAAGAAGAGGGGACATATATTTTGAAATTAATGCCCTATTAGATTATGTGGTATGTGGCTTCAGGATGACGCTCAGCTTTCCTTTCTCTTAAAAATTATATGTAGCTCTGGCTGGCTTAGCACTCACTATGTAGACCAGGCTAGTCCAAAACTCATAGAAATCCATCTGTCTCTGCCTCTTGAGTGCTTAGAGTGCCGAGGTTAGAGGGACCAGGAGGTTGCTTTTCAATTGGGCAGAATTTTCATGTCACTTAACTTTGCTATGCAGGAGGGGGAATGACAAACTGTGACACTGTAGAGGGACTAATCCCAGTTAGATATCTACAATTTTGTATGTTTGACTTGCATAGATTTCTTTTGCTTGTTTTTGAGACATGGTTTCTCTGTGTAGTCCTGGCTGTCCTGGAACTGCTCTGTAGACCAGACTGGGCCCTAACTCAGATATCTGAGTACTTCTGCCTCCCAAGTCTGGGATTAAAGGTGTGCACCACCATACCCAACCACGACAGCACTACATCTTCCTTCCTTCCTTCCTTCCTTCCTTCCTTCCTTCCTTCCTTCCTTCCATCTTCTTTTGATTTTTCAAATCAGAGTTTCTCTGTGCAGCTTTGTAGACCAGGCTTGCCCCAAATTCACAGAGATCAGCCTGTGTCTGCCTCCCGAGTGCTGGGACTAAAAGCGTGTGCCACCCCTGCCCAGGTGATGTATTTCTTAAAAAGCAACCATACCATTTTAAGTTTTGTTTTGGTTTAATACAAGAAGACAATGTAAATGTTAAGTAGAATTAAGAAGTGCAACAAGCATCTTACCTAATGGGTGCAGTGGTACACACCTGTGATCCCAGCACTGAGGAGGCTGAGGCAGGAGGAATGAATGGAGTATGAAGTAAGCTTGGTGAAATAATGAATTCCAATCACCGGGCGGTGGTGGCGCACACCTTTAATCCTAGCACTCAGGAGGCAGAGCCAGGCGGATCTCTGTGAGTTCGAGACCAGCCTGGTCTACAAGAGCTAGTTCCAGGACAGTCTCCAAAACCACAGAGAAACCCTGTCTTAAAAAAAAAATTCCAGGCCAGTCTTGGCAACAGACACCCTGGTTCAAAACCAAAACCCTTCTCTTCCTGGGGCTGGGGACAAGGCTCAATAGGTACAGTGCTCACCCTACAAGCATGACAATTTGAGTGTGTGTGTGTGTGTGTGTGTGTGTGTGCTGGAACTTACTGATTGGCAAGGCTGGCTAGCCAGCAAGCCCCAAGGATGCACCTGTTTACACTTCTCCTGTGGCCCTGTGCCCACTTTTTACATGAGTTCTCTGGATCAAACAACTCAGGTTCTCATGAGTGTACAGCAAGCACTTCACCATCTGAGCCATCTCACCCCCTTCCACTTTAAATATACCCAAACCAAACCACCCAAACAGAAAACAACCCCTGCCCCCAGGGACTTAAAGCGCAATCTGATCAAAGCGAAGAGCCCTCTCCCTTTACCAGAACACTCTCTGCACTGTCTCCTGTGAGCTTAGAAAGTCGTGTATAGCGTTTGCTACTCTAAGCCACACTTTGCTTGGCAGGTGTAGAAGAGCACCTTCCATGTGGACTCTGTCCTATGTGGAACAACTTCCCAAAGCCCTTTCTCCTTCCCCAAAGCCTCCAGAAGCCGACCTTAGGCAAGAAGGCCAGGAAAAGCCCCATCAATACCTGCAGTATCTTTGAGCCAGGCACTGGGTGATCCACAGCATCCTACCCAAATGTGAAGGATCCCACAGGGCGGGGACCTCGGTGTGAGGTCCCTTACATGCCAGAATTACCTGCCAGGTACTCAATGACGGCTGCCATGTAGACGGGTGCACCGACGCTGATCCGGTACTTGAATGTCCCCTTTTTCAGGTAACGCATCAACCGACCTACTGGAAAGATGACACCGGCCCTGGCTGACCGGGACAACTTGGACATTTTCTTCTTCCCGCTCCGGCCTGACATCTTGGCTCAGTTTCCCTCTCAGCTTGCTGACACAGTGACCTCCTGGCACTTACACAACCCTAGGAAGGAAAGAAAGGGGGGATTGAGGCTGGCTGGAAACGTCAGGGGCACGTTAGTGTGGCCTCAGGACATAATGTGACATGTCTGGCTGCCAGCACAGGAAGCTGCAGGCATGAGGTAGGCGGGGCCTCGGAAGGGTATCTGCAGCCCCCACACAAACATTCCTCCCCACGGGGCAGCCCTGAGCAGCAGAGGCTCAAGGAAGCTGTCACTATGCTCAGCTGTGCAGTGATGGTCGAGATGTTATTCCTTTGTCCCCAGAACCTATGGGTTCTGCATGAAAAAGGGAATTTGCAGACACGATTAAACGATTTTTTAAAAAATACAGATTCTCACATACTTAAGGTTCCTTGTGAATCCCTTGTTCTATTGCCTCCACTTCCTAAATGTTGAGAATGACCAGTGAGTCCCGCCAACCTGGCTCCATAGTTAGCTTTGGTTGTTCTGTTTAAAGACAGTCTCACAGCCGGGCGGTGGTGGCGCATGCCTTTAAATCCCAGCACTCGGGAGGCAGAGGCAGGAGGGTATCTGTGAGTTTGAGGCCATCTTGGTCTACAGAGTGAGTTCCAGGACAGCCTCCAAAACAATACAGAGAAACCCTGTCTCAAAAACAAAACAAAACACAGTCTCACTGTGTAGTCCTGGCCAGCCTGACATTCACTATGTAGACCAGGCTAGCCTTGAACTCACAGAGATCCACCTGCCCCTGTTTCCTCAGTACTGGGACTAACGGTGTGCACCACCATGGCTGGCCATAGTTTTAAGCGATGTAAATAAGCCTTTACACGTGTCTCCAAAGGAAGCGCTGCAACTTCTCTAATGCAGTCATTCTTTTGCCCAGGGTCTCAGGTAGCCTAGGCTGACCTGGAACTTTATTTATATATATATAATTGAGGATGATCTTAAACCTCTGATTCTCTTGCCTCTACCTTCTGACAGCTGGGATTACAGTCATGCACGACCACAGCAAGTTTATGTGGTTCTGGGGATCAAAGCCAGACCTTCATGCAAGCTCTCCACCAACGGAGCTACAGCCCCAACCCCAGAGGCCCTCCAGGAAGGGCAATATTAATGGAATATACTACCGCCTAGCAACCAGACGGTAAACAGAAAGTCACAGCATAACCGAGGCGTCTGCTCTTGGGATGGGGAATCCAGGATGATTCGGGGGAGACATTTGAAGTCACACAGAGAGGTGGGTTCCATGTAATGCGCCAATAGTAACTCGCCAACACACTGTCCCTTATGGAAGCCATGTTCTGAGCAAAGAACACACAGCTCTAGCATCCTGAACACAGTCTCGATATTGTTGCTGTTTTCAGACAGGGTGTATCTATGTATCCCTGGCTATCCTGAATTCAGAATGTGGATTAGGTTGGCCCGGACATAGTCTTTCTAATGCTAAAAATAATTATTAAAGGGCTGGGTTAATCTTGAGCTGTCTGGTAAGGGGATATTGTGATAAGAAAAATCATATACTATTTATCACTTAGGGTTTCAATTGCTTCAATTGCTGTGAAGAGACACCAGGACCACAGCAACTTTTTTTTTTTTTTTTTTTGGTTTTTACGAGACAGGGTTTCTCTGTATTGTTTTGGAGGCTATCGGTCCTGCCCGGCCTCGAACTCACAGAGATCCGCCTGCCTCTGCCTCCCGAGTGCTGGGATTAAAGGCGTGTGCCACCACCGCCCGGCCACAGCAACTTTTATAAAGGAAAACATTTAATTTTGGGTAGCTTACAGTTTCAAAGTTTACATTATCATCAGGGTGGGAAACATTGCGGCATGCAGGCAGGCGGGTGGCTGGAGAAGGAGCTGAGAGTTCTGCATCTTAATCCAAAGGTAACAGGAAATGAACTGTGACACTGGGCATCGCTTGAGCACAAGAGACCCCCAAGCCCACCCTCACAGTGACACACTTCCTCCAACAAGGACACACATACCCCAACAAGACCACACCTCCTAATAGACAACTCCTCCCTTTGGGGGCCATTTTCTTTAAAACCACCACAATAACTTATATGTTTACATTATAATATATGTAACAATATATACTTATGAAATAATATAACTCAGAATAAGTAAATTGCACAGGACAAACAGGAGCAGAGTGAAGCCATAGACATTTCTAGGAAATGAGTCAAAACTCTACTCCAGGGTGTCAGCATTCTATTGTTGACAGAAACGAGAAAGTCAAAATTAACTGAAACTGTGCCCACTGAGGCAACGGCTCACATTCCTATGAGACTGTCTTAGCTGCAGCCCACGTGACAATGAGAAAGCCAAAGAAGGCTCAAGGATGATGGGACAGTGCTAAACGAATGGGCAGCTGCTGGGAGACACACAACCAGGGTTCCTGAACCTGGCACCGGCCACTTTCTTTTATTTTTGTATGTGTGCATTTCGGGCGGGTCAGGTATCCTGGAGCTCAGGAGCCACAGAATACTGAGTGTCACACAGCTCAGGTGGAAAGGTACCCTGGAGCTCATGAGCCAAGGACCACCCACAGGTTGTAGTAAGCTTAGCAGTTTACAGCCTTGACTCAGGGAAAGGCTTCCTCAGTGTATCCGCTCTGCTCCTGCAGGACAGGGTCTTCCAGCTGCGGATGTTCACCTGGTATAGCAGTTTTGCTCTGCAGGAGGTTTCTTGGCGAAGTTGCTGCAGTTCAGCTCTGCTCCTGGAGAGCAGAGAGGGGAGAGCAGGGAGCCAAGGGAAGGTTTCCCAGGCAAAAGTGTTACAGCCCTGCTCGCTCTGCTCTGCCCAGAGTTGGAAGAAAGCAGCTGGACCAGCTAAGCTGAACATACACAGGTTTATATAGGGATTCTTGGGGGCGAGGAAGTTTTTCCAGGGTCAGTATTGGTCCAATTTCAGTGCTGAACTCAGATTGGCTAGAGCTCTGCTCCAGGATTGGTTAGTTTTCTGCACAGGATTAGGGTCAGATTTGGCTCTGGTTTCAGGGCCAAAGTGTGTTTCTTTCTCTGGTCCTTTTTAGCCTTTTGGCTCCAATTTTAGGGCCAGGGTGCATTTCTTCCACTGACTCTGATTCCAGGGACAAAGTGTGTTCCTTTGGACTGGTTTCAGGTTCAGGGTACATTTCTTTGGTTCTGATTGCAGAGCCAAAGTGTGTTTCTTTGACTGGTCCCTTTTCCCTATAGTGTGTACATATGTGTGTTTGATAGTATTTGCATGTATGTATGCATGCATGCAAACGTTGGATAATTTTATGTCAACTTGACAAGCTAGAGTTAGTTGTCTGAGAAGAGAAAACCCCAACTGAGAAAATGCCTCCATAAGATCGGGCTGTAGGCAAGCCTGTAGAGCATTTTCTTAATTAGTGATTGATCGGGGAGGACCCAGCCCATTTTAGGTGGTGCAATGCCTGGGCTGGTAGTTCTGGGTCCTGTAAGAAAGCAGGTTGAGCAAGTCAGGGAGAAGCAAGCCAGCAAGAAGCATTCTTCCATGGCCTCTGCATCAGTTCCTGCCTCCAAGTTCCTGCCCTGCATGAGTTCCTGTCCTGACTTCCTTCAGTGATGGACTATGATGTGGAAGTATAAGTCAAATAAACCCTTTTCTCCCCAACTTGTTTATGGTCATAGTGTTTCACAGCAGCAACAGAAACCCTAACAAAGATAGTATGTGTGTATCTATGTGTGCATATGTATGTGTGTATATGTATGTATACATGTACAGGGTGGGGGAGCTTGCATGACTGCCACACCACAGAGGGCAACTATAGGAAGTTGGTTTTCTCCTGCCACCATGTGAGTCCTGGGAATTGAACTCGGGTCATCAGGCTTAACGGCACCTGCCCTTACATACTGTGCCATCTTGCTGGCTTTAGTTTCCTATAGTATCCTATAGTCTGCTATGACTGAGGTGTTTTACACATAAACTATGGAATTAAGAGTGCTCAGTACTAAGTGAGACATTCCCTCTCTCCCCTCTCTCTTTTCCTTTATTTCCCCTTTTTTAATGCTTATTTTATGTGCAGGCATGTTTAGCCTTATGCATACAGAGCCCAGAAGAGAGTGCTGGATCCTATGGAGACTGGAGTTACAGACAGTGGAGAGCTGTGGGAACTGTGGAACAATCCCAGGTCCTCTGGAGGAGCAGCCTGTGCTCTTAACTGCTGAGCCATCTCTCCAGCCCCCTCCCCTTTCTGTTTTGAAATGGGACATCTCTGTCACCCCTCTCCCACCCCCTCCAAGGCCCAGGGAATACCACAAAAGAGCTGGAAGATGGAGAGGAACGATACAAAACGTGGTCCTCTGGATATGGCACAGCCATCCCAATCAGGAACACACAGCAGCTGTCATTACCTGAACAAGTTTGCACACTGCATTCAAGATGTGAGAGTAGGAGGGGCTAGTGGGGAAGGAGAAGGAAGTTAGCAGAAATGGAAGGAGAGACAGAGAGAGAGAGAGAGAGAGAGAGAGAGAGAGAGAGAGAGAGAGAGAGAGAGAGAGAGAGAGAGAGAAATGGAGTGGACATGACCACAATCCATTCTGTGCATGTATGAGATTGTAAAAAGCACAAACCCTAAAACCTATAGAGTTAGGCCTTTTGTTTGTTTCATTTTGTAAAATAAGTTTTACCATGAAGTCCAGGCTGATCTAGATCTCACTGTGTAGCTCAGGTTGGCCTTGAACTTGAGGTAATCCTGCTGTCATAGCTTTCCAAATGCTAGGATTATAGGTGTGAACCACCACACCTACTCGGTGTATCAGTGGTTAAGAGCACTGGCTGCTCTTTCATAGGACCTAGGTTCAACTTCCAACAGTTAAGGCAGTTAACAACCATTTGTAACTCCAGTTCCAGAGGATCCAACATTCTCTTCTAGCCTCCGTGGGCACCATATGCAAATGACACACAGACATACGGGCAAGTAAAATATCCCATATGCATATGAATGTATCACAGGCTGACCAGGATCTTCCTATGGAGTTCAAACTAACCTCGAACTCATGATCCTCCTGCTCCCCCTGGCTTGGATAATAAGC